GATGGAGCAAACGAAATGTAGATAGGGGTGAGGTGAGAGTTGTGAAAGTAGGATATGGGAGGCCTTTATATACTCGCCTCAGCCAAATTCCGCGGCCAGCTAGGAGTGTAGTCTGTCACTCCGTTGAGAGGTGCGTAGCAATCACACGGCAGCATCAAAGCCTTGACAACAATGTTAAGACGGAGTTGGAGAATCTCTGGAGTCTAGCTCCTGGGAACGCCAAAACTGTTCCTGGTAGTGTGTTGACGGCATGGGAACCGAATCTATCTCTACCTACCCACATCTTGCATCTAGTGCCATAAGAATAAATCACAACCTATCACTCACTTCGAAATTCCATAGGCAACCCAGAATTTAACGCAGCATTTGTCGACTTCGCTGCCTACCGCAGTAGCCAGTCTGTTCGCCACTGCCTGGTCACGGCGGTCTACAAACACAAGTGCAGCTGATTGCAGCAGTGGTCTGGAATGATATCCCTTCGCGCAGGCCACTGATCGGCAGTATACGGCGCATACTGCGTGTGAATGCATTCTTCGACGTACCGACTGTTTCAAGGAAGGCGTCCCATGCCACCAGTCACGCAGCCACGTAGGTAAATTGCCTACGGGGATGGCATATAAAGCTGACGAGGGAACGCTGCAGAGATTGCCCAACACCGCCAACAATCCGAAGCATTTTCTGCCTTTGACGACCCCCTCAATGACTACCATGCTGCCTTGGAATCCCTTTCTTGTTTGTGAGATAGAGGTCAGCCCCAATGGCGGCCCTCGCTCCTGTTGCGGGATGACGGAACGAGGCACGCCATGCAAGAACTCGATCAAAGTTGAAGACACCAAGATAGGGCATCACAAGTTGACCACTCTCGCCAGAGAGCCGTTTGACCTGTCAAATTTGCAATCGAAGCTCTGTGATGTTGCCAAAGAATTCCTCTGCGCGAGATGGCATCGACAACGACAGGCCGAGCAACTTGGTCAGCAGTGGTATGAAGCAGCCCTCCGCAACCAGGCGCGAGTACCACATGGCTCCAGAATGGCCTCTCCATCAGTTATTGTACATCAGGGCCAGCGTCAGACATCATCAGCCTCCAGGCGACGCCCTGCAGCATCAGACAACACTGACCGGTCACCTCCTCACGGGCTCAGACAAGACCCGCCGGTTCCACCGTCAGACAGCTCTGAGCCAGTGCAGTCAAACAACTCCTTTGTCACTGCTGCAATGCTGCGAACGAACAATGTTCCGTGGCAAGTTTCGCCGGCTCGACCAGCTATTTTGTTATCGGCCACTAATCTCCTGGCTGGCTTCCAGAACTTGACGCTCCAGAGTCTCAGTACGAGTGAGGAGGTCGACGACATCCACTGTGTGTTTTGCCTGGCCGAGGATGGAGACCATGCAAACGAGTGCGTGATATTGCGTTGTGGTCAGTGCCGAGCGCTCTCTCATCTATCCTGCGCGGAAGAATGGTTGGAAAAGCGAGATACAGGGTTTGGCACGTCATGCTGTGTGTGGTAAGTGTGGATGACCTTATTTCTGAGACGACCAAGATACTGATGACCGCAGTCGAAACGAAGGAGCCCTAGACGCCATCATTCGCCCCTTACGAATCCCCTCGTCGGATGCCGAGACACATTCCGTCCACACGGCAAGCGATCCATCTCCCACTGGTGGGCCCCGTCGCTCAGCCAGACTAGCAGGAACTCATCTACCGCGACAACCTTCCACCGCTGCACCGCTTCGCCGATCGGCACGACTCAATTCCACTCAGCATAGGTGATCACAGGTTACAGCCGAGTTTGACGGAAAATGCGAAAAGCGAGTGAATCACACGTGAGTACACGTGACCAGACTCTCTGCATCGTAATCAGCAACAGAGGTTACAGCCGTTATAGCCGTGATATAGAATTTTGAAGCAAATTAGCAAGAAATGAAATACCGATGGTTAAACTCCGAAAGTACAACTCGACCGTTTCATCTCGTAAGTGCTGGACACCAATACACCATAGCCAGTAGCTATTGAGTGCTTCGCTGATTCCGAAAATGTCTGACCTCGAAACTGTATTGGTAGATAAAAGTTCTGTTTTCATCATACCTAACGGCGGTGATCAAAGAAACACAGATAAGGATTCATCTCAGTGGAGCCGTGTCGCGTGAAGGCCGGGATTGTTGGCAGAAAAGCCACAGGCAAGAGACTGACAAACTCTCGTGCTTGTTAATTTACTCTGGGAATCAATATGTTGGCCCTGGGAACCTCAAAAGCATTTCTAGGAGCTTTTTATCCGCTAGGAAATACGCTTTAGCTTGTCAAGGATATACATGAAGCATACGGAACGGATGGAGATATGATCTGCGCGGGACCCACATGGTGTACATGGGATTCAAGGAGGATACTGGAAAGGCTGTTGAAGAAGGCGCGGTTGTGTACAGTAATTTGCCTTGGTAGCATAAAATGTTTATTTCACTTTTAAAGTTCGTTGATTTCATGGGACTCATGTAGCTAGTCAAAGTCGACGTGTAGGCTTTAAGTTGTAAGAACCCGAAACAGCCTCTTCGAATTGGGCTGCTTCGCAACTTTGTCTGCGCCCTTCGAAGCCAGAATTGAAGGTTGGCTCGTGCTCCTCAATTTGTTCTCTATTAATAAAGTTCACGCTTAGTATTTCGTTACAACCTTTTCGAGAAGATTACCAGTGCAATGCCATTACATGTAGGCAATTGGATACATGAAGATAATATTAAGAAGACCTGTTATATTATCTTGACCAATGGCCTGGGTCTAGAGAAGATACACCAGGATAAATACTCGAACTCCTTTATTGATTGGGGGATAATAGTTGGTCTGCCTTGTTATTGCTTTACTGGCTTTACTTGCCTAATATCTCCGCTTCCATAGCTCCCGTATTAGTTCGGCGTCTTTCTAATTACATTAGTAAACAATATTACTAATTAGAAGGAGTAGATTCATATGACTATACTTAAAGGAGTTCTTAGGCAGGGCTGCCTGCGTCTAGGCTCTTACCTAACTCTTGAGGTACGTAATGCCCCCTCACATTTGCTTGTAACACTCTAGGATAATTTAATAAGTAGTACATCACCTACTTACCTAATTGTTTATGTCCTGTAACCATACACTTCCAGTTCATTTTGGGTTACGTTAATTGTGCAGGATTTTCATTACTAGCATTCAATCCAGGTTCATTGGTATTGACGCATCTCCTGGAATAAATAAGCAATCAAATAGTGGCGGCTACTCGCCGTCACCCTTGTATCTCGTCCCTCAGTTTGAATCATAATACGCAAATTGGTCACTGGCTGGCACAAAATTATATCCCAAATAAATATGGACAGTGAAAACCCATATGAATGTAAGTGTATATTTGGCTTTTGCTTATCCAGTTTCTGACGGTCATTTCACAGCATATATTACAGCTTCTTTCTACTTCAAGAAGCAGCAGGGCATAAGTCACGAAGAGTTCTACCGCCATTGGAGCACATTCCATGCCAATATGGCAATTTCTTGCAAGCCTTTCACAGTAAGCTTTCGACGTTATGTCCAGGTACGCATCATGTATAAAACGTGTATTACTTGTTCAGCGCATGTTGTTGACGGTATGATATAGATGCATGCAACGCAAGAGCTCCAAATGAAAGGATCTGAGCTTGGTATGGAAATTCTGGACTATGACGCATGTGCAGTCTTCCATGTCAGAAACTGGGACACTTTTGTGAAGCTTATGCCAGTAAGTTCCTATGTGCTATCGTGTCGATCAAGCTAATATAATAGAAAAGGAGTGGCAGAAGGAGCTTGGCACAGACGCAGCAAGAATAATGCAAATGCCACCCAAGATCTTCGTCAGTCGGGATGTAGTCCTGTTCGGATAGATCTAATAAAGTATGAAAGCCTACATCTATAGTCGGGAATCGATGAAACCTGGCGTCTAATTGCGGACAACTCGAGCGTATCTGATTTCTGTAACTAATACAGATTGTCACAGTGTCGCAATTACCTTACGAATACTGCATGAAACCGGGTCTATAGATGATCCGTCGGCATAGCTTATGTAACTAGAATGGACCCATAAATAACGTAATTCCCGGTCGAGCGGCCACCCCGGCCGAGCGGCCACCCTACCACTTATCTATTCAATTAAAATGCATTTTTTTAACCAAAACGCCATTAAATTCAATGAGCTAAAAATGAGTTCTATTAGGACATGTAGTCAATTTATGACCCTGAATTCCACATATACTGCACTTCGGCAAGGCCCTCGTACGTGGCTGTAAAGGTGCGGGAGCCGGTCTTGCCTCACGGGACACTTGCGCTAAAATTGCCTGCTCTGGCTGCATTGCTAAGGTAGAGGCCTCTAAAACTGATAGACCTTCTTCAGAAGCTATTTGCCGTGTAGATCTAGTCCTTTTTCGCTTCTTCGTCTCGTTTTCAGCGCGTAAATCGCTTACTTCTTTCTCGAGAATAGCTGCCGATTGCATTGTGATTTGACAGGCTTTTAAAACCTGATTTATCGCGCAATTAAGTGGACTCGGAGGGCTTTTAGAGCGCTGCTTTAGTAAGGCTTTTATCGAAGAAGCTTGTTTTTGTAATTGCACGTAATTCGAAGGCGTTTTTAGCTCCCACTCGCTTTCCCGGCTCGAGGGGGGTGTCGGGGTTCGAAGGCGAATATTGAGCTTCGAGATCACTCGATCGGGGTCGTAAGGCACTAAACCGGCAGCGGCGAAGCTATTCTTGATAGTCTCCGATTTAAATGCCTCGATTCGTGCGGTCGGATAGGCTTCGAGGTTTATCGATGTGGTTGATTCTAGCCCGCATTTTTGACTCGATAAGCCGGCTATACGAGCGCTTTAACACCGCAAAACAGCCGATATCGAGAGGCTGTAAAAGGTGAGACGAGTGCGGAGGCATACAAATTGCGATAATATCGTTTTTTTCGCAAATTTGGTCGAATTGCGGGGTTAAATGACTCCCGTGGCCGTCGAGTATTAAGAGTCTATACTTCCCCTTCGTACGCGAAGAAGTAGACGGAATAAAAAGCTTTTCGAGCCACCGAACGCTAATTTCATCGGACGTCCACCCGTTCGGACTAATCTCGAGTCTCCAATTATTCGGAAGGCCGTCGAACCAAGATTCGATAAAGACTTTGCCCTTAAAAATCACGCACGGAGGAAGCGCCCACCCCGACGCGTTTATACACTCAATTGTGGTAACCCACGCGCGATTTCCGGGTTGTAAAAGTGCTCTCCGACCATAGAATTCCTTTCTCGTGATAACCTTCGCGGTCGCAATTAAGCCCATTGCAAAACCAGTCTCGTCGAAGTTATAGATATCGTCGGGATCGATACCGTACGAAAGGATCGTTTTTTTGGACAAGAGAAAACCATTCAGAAATGATTTTAGGGTCTTCGCATTTAGCACGCGTATAATTATAGCGCCTCGAAAACCTACTCGAGAGGTCGGAATGCCTTTTCACGAATTCTGTAACCCAATTCTTACCGACCGAAAGAGGAGGGGTAGATCCACGCGCCGCGAGTAGTAAGTCTGCCATTTCTCGTACAGAAGAAGGCCGAGGGGCTGCTCCGCGAGAATCCATTGAGAGTATCCATTTTCGAAGCGAGTCTTCTTCAATTTTTGTTAATTTATGGCCATTCGCGCGAGTTTCGACGCGGTTTGTAGTACCAGCGAGGCGGCGGCGGAGCGTCGTACGGGGTATATTAAAAAGACGCGCTGCTTCTTGAACTGTAGAGATTTCTTTCTTTTGAATAGCCTGAATAGCTAATAAGACCCTGCCTTCTTGCTCAATTAAATTTCGAGAGGATTGAGTACGAATTGGTGGCATAGTGGGTGTTTGAAGAAGGAAGGTCTAATTAATTGACGCGTTTTACGTGAGGGTGGCCGCTCGGCCGGGGTGGCCGCTCGACCGGGAATTACGTTAGTGAGAAATAGGGGTAATGGAAATACAGAGTCATTTACATCTCCAATTGGCCGGATACAGGACAAATCGTGACACACAGAGGGTGCCTCAGGCAGTCTAGACAGGGGACCGTGCGACCACCGCTCGGCATTCGACCAAATTGGGTCTAACCGTCTAACCCCTTTGGGCTGAATCCCGAATGGCCCTCTTGGCATCGCTGGCCTTCCTGATTCCCAGCGATTCGTTTCGGAATCTATTAGCATACAGCCTCTCCTTCCTCTTTCGTACATCCTTCGTAGCGTGACATTCCGTTGTTTAGTAGGACATCGCCGCGGGTGAAGACCGACTGGCAACTGCCGCCGATCCGACCTCGCCGCTTACACAGATATGATATTCAAGGCTAGAATACTATGCATGTTTAGTACATATCTCTGTTATTTGGTCCAAAATTCCAGAAAAACAAACAGTTAATGGCAATAAGAATTTCAGTAGCCCGGAGAATCAGGTCAAGCAGTTGTCTTCAAGGTAATTATGGTGTGCAACTCAACATACTTAACAGCCCAATAGTTTTATTGACGCAGGTATCCCTGTAGACGCCGTAATATTATCACCACTTAGTCCAGCCGACCTGCATTATCAGCCGTGTAATACCACTATCTGAGGCTGTTTTACGTCTAACATATTGTCTTCTATTTTCTTGCGCCAGTTATAGAATACCACACCATTCTTCAGCCAAGATCGAGGATCACACACATAACCGACCAGTGTACAAGAGGCAAAAATCGAAGGAGCAAATTCAGATACGGAAATATGGGAACATATAGTAACAGTTCAAGGGTCTTGTTCATCTCCCTCTCGAAGCAAATGCAAAGCTCTCCTCCGCCAAGAAATGGGACTAGACTAGAGATTGCTCTTGAGTCCCCGAGCGGCAAGGAGACGCTCGCTCTCCTTATATTGCCAGTCAAGACGGGGAATGATCTCATGCTTGCGAGTGCTGTTCTCCCTCTTACCAAGTTGCTGCAAGTGGACCTCATCAGGACCATCAGCAATGCGAAGTGTACGGACAAGGGCCCAGAGATACGCGAGGGGTGTATCTTGGGAGACACCAGCGGCACCAAAGGCCTGAACTGCACGGTCGATGACAGTCAATGCAGACTGAGGCACAAGGATTTTGGCTTCAGCAATCTCCTTAAGGGCAGACTTAGCATCACCTTGATCAATCTTGATAGCAGCGTTAATGACAATAAGTCGAGCAGCGTCAATCTCGATCCGGGAGCGGGCAATCCACTCTAATAAAACAGCATGGGCTGAGAGTGGCTTGCCAAAGGTTTTTTTGCGGTCATCATTGACCCGAGCGATCAGCCACTCAAGGGCTTTCTCAGCCGCGCCAATGGTGCGCATGGCGTGGTGAATGCGGCCAGGACCCAAGCGGCCCTGCATAATTTCAAAACCACGGCCCTCGCCCAGGATGAGGTTGGAAGCCGGCACCCGCACATTCTCAAAAGTGACATGCCCGTGGCCGGCTGGGGAGTCGTCATACCCGTATACGGTCAACATGCGGTGGATCTTTATTCCGGGGGTCCCAACTGGCACCAAGATGATTGATTGCTGGCGGTATGGGTCGATATGATCGGGGCTGGATTTGCCCATAACAATGTATATCTTGCAACGAGGATCTCCGACGCCAGATGCCCACCATTTCTATGAAAACCTTTTATTAGTCTTGTCGGTCATTTAATAAGCTATTCAAGAAGATCCAAAGACCTACCGATCCATTTAAAATATATTCGTTACCCTCACGGCGCATGCTCAGTTGTATGTTCGTGGCATCGCTTGATGCTACATCGGGCTCAGTCATAAGAAATGCGGACCGGATCTCCCCCTTCAGCAGAGGAGCCAGCCACAGCTGCTTCTGAGAATCATTGCCATATGTAGCCAGAACCTCCATATTTCCCGTATCAGGTGCTGAGTTATTCGTGGCCTGTCTCATTAGCTGCAGCCATTCTAGCTAGGGAGTCACGATCACTGGGCTTACCTCAGATGCCAATCTACTCCTACCCAGATATTCGGCCATCAGCCCATATTCAAGATTACTGAATCCAGCACCCTGGGAAAAATGGTTCTTAGGCAGGAACATGTTCCACAGGCCCATCTGACGGGCTTTGGACTTAAGGTCCTCTAAAATGGCGGGGTTGGCGTTCCATCTCTCCCTGCCATGCCCAAGCTGGGCAGAGAAAACTGGCTCGGCAGGAATACACACTCTCTCAACAAAATCCTCAACCTATTCACGTAAGTTAGCAGCAACGCTTTTATAATGGGATATAGAGGTAAAGCAGCTGACCAAGTCGAGGGCTATTTTTGCTCGATCGCCGACGAAGGGCTGGGCGATCGGAGGAATTCTAGATGAGGCAGACATGAGGAGAAATAAGCGGGCCAAATAAAGGTAGTAAAGCGGAAGAATAAGATTGTTAGTCTGCTGGAAGACAAGGTGGACTTATATACACGTAGTAGAAGGTAAGCCAACAGGATGAATAGTCTAGGAAGATAGTACCTCCTTATCTCTGGTTAGCCGACGCAGAGGATGCCGACTCTAGTGGCAAGTTTGCACTCCCCGTAAGTATGTCCCTATGGGGAGATAGTTTTGCATTCACCCGAAGACGTAACCGAGTATTTTTCTGTATCATTCGTCCAGTCTATTTTAGTGCTCAAGCGGGCATAATGCAAGCACTATTCACCTCAAACAGGCCCGCATCCCGCGCACAGGTCGGCCAGAGGCATGGGTCCACGAAACCTGGTAGAGACTTCACATTCAGTATGTCCAGGCACATGTGGAAGCCCTGACATAACGGTGAATTTTCGATGTGTCGCACGTCTTACGTACCCTTCGACGATCGTAAAAAGAACACGCATATTTTCTCCCACCACACACTAGGTCTGTGACTACTTACCTACTTAGTGGATGTTAAGTAACATTTCCAGGTACGTCGATAATTGAACTCGTTGTTACATAATAAGAAGTGGAAAGATTTGTGTCAGAAAAAATTTCCCATTCCGCCCTACCCGATAACTGGGTAATGAGACACCGGCGCAGAATAACTAATACTTGCCAGTGGCTGATAGAGCTTGCGGACATCCTTTCATGCACGACTTTCCCAGCTTGCAAAAAATTCGGCGATAGAGTGAGAATCAATTGCCATTCTTTGCCAAGTTCACAGCAACATATTCGTCAAGTGTATCCTATCCTCAGATGTCGCAAAGGCGCACGGTCCATCTCTCACTACTAGGAGGAGTTGATGCTAGTTACTGGCTGTCATCACCTTTCGATCCTGAAAAGGTCTCGTTCTCTGAAGAATACTATGCCTAGCACGCTGACCGTTTTTGCATAGCCAACATATGTCCTTATCAACTCCTTCGGAACAAATGCAAACCTCTTCACTGCTCAATTCAACGATGATAAACTTACCACAATAGCAAATCTTATTGCCATTGAGCCTCTCGGGCACGGGAGGACGGAATGCAGACAGACAGTCTGGACATACTGGGACTCGGGTAAAATATTTCTCTATCTTGACGATGCATTCTACAATACGCTAATAATTCATGGCCCGCAGCTTACATGAACCTCGAGGCTATGAAAGTGCTAGGTATACAAGAGGCATTTGTTTTGGGAACATCCCAAGGGGGATTTATTGCGGCGCGCATGGCACTCATTGCACCTGAGAAGGTTTGTCACCTCCAGTCCGGGAATCGGTGTTCAGCATTAAATAGTTCCAGGTCAAAGGAATCATATTGCTGGGAACCGCTCTTGACGCAGAATCGAACCGTCTGATCGCACAAGGTAGTTGGGATGGAAAGTCTATCGCCGATGGTATGCTTGCCCGATGGGAAAAGCATGCCCTCGACGGGGATGACTTTTCGCCACCCACTGAATACTGCCGCAGGATTGTCGAGTCCGGATACGGCAGCGATGCTTCAGAGCAGCTGATTGAATTCTGGACAAAGGAAATTAGGTCTTCATATAAGGGTGAGCATGGTCGTCAGAAATTGATTATGATGGCCATCAATCTGAAGGAACGCGATGGCATACTCGCACGCCTTCCATATATCACGACGCCGGTTTTGTGGATGCAGGTATGTTTAGGGCCAGCCTTTCAAACTTACTACTTCATGGGGACTGATTACCATCTATAGGGCACCCTGGACCCAGTATTCACAATATGTACGGCAGAAAATGAGATTAGTCTGTTTAAGGGGAGCACCTCCGCCCGTCTTGTTATTGTTCCTGGAGGGCATCATTTCCTCAGTGCCTCACATCCCGATCGTGTCAATCCACAGATGATTCAGTTCGCACAAGAGTATTCCAAGGGTCATGTTTCAAAGGTCTGATTAGAATACTCTAGTCCTACTTCTTATTGCTTTCAGCATGCAGTTTGACGATAGCAACGGAGCCCCGCCGCTGATGGCACTACGATGGGAAGGATGAATAAATTTTTCAAATTTGCAACTGTCTATTAGACCATCTCATACGTGAAGACCATGAAGTTATATTCGGATTCTACTAAAATAAAAGAACAGTCACTGTCCGTTCAAAGGCAATCAAACAGGCTATACTCTACGCTACATTTTGGCTATGGGTTAACGAAGGCGAGTGATACAATAGATAGTCGTACCTTTTTTTAAAAGAGTTCTCAGTTCTGCCATTCTTAGGTCCTCAAGTTTTAGTTTTCCCAGCGAAACAGCGCTATTCGAATTTATATTAAAAGAGGAGTGACAAACAAATCAATGCCCCCTGCCGACGTTTTGATCTGAGGTAGTACACGGCGGTAAGGACAATGAATTTACAGCTTATAGGTTTTACATATGATAGACTATAAGATATGAATGTTTTATGCGTGGTTATGGGGGGAAAAATAACATTGTCTACCTGTCCATCCATCAGACAATGCTCACAAATACAAAATCGAAATTGCTTCCATTGAGTTCCTACCACCGTCTTTGACAGTTGGGTCGGAGTCAAATCTAAAGACCTAGAATTCTCCACCATTGACGGGAATTGCCTGACCGGTGATATACGAAGCCGCATCGCTCAGCAAAAATCCAATCATGCTCGCAATCTCCGAGGGCTCGGCCCATCGAGCCATAGGGATTTGGGCCACTGCTTGGAGGGTTGATTCATTCCTTAGACCGCTATTTGCAAGTTGAGCCTGAAACATAGGTGTCATTGTTGAACCAGGAGCAACCAGATTGACACGAAGGCCCATTTGTGCATACTCTAGTGCCCACGCACGAGCCAGGCCCAGGACAGCATGCTTGCTGCAAGTATACGCAGCAAGAGACCTATAGCCTCGCATTGATGCTGATGAGCCAATTATCACCATGCTCGTAGAATATGTTGGTAACCCATCCTTGTGGATGGATTGGATATGGCGGAGGAACTCGGTACCAAGCGTCCAAGTTCCTCGACAGTTCACAGCCATGACTCTGTCGAAAGTGGCGTCTGGCTCGGGAATTGTCGCTATTGAAGGACTGATACCGGCGCAGTTTACTAGACCATGAATACGGGGTGACCGTGCAAGAATTGATTTGAAGGTCTGAGATACGGATTCGCGCAAGCTCACATCAACTGAAGGATAGAAGTAGACATTATCTTGAGCAAAGTTCGAAGGAGGAAAGTCGCTGACATCGATAACATGAATAGCCTCGCACAGATCGAGAAGGTGGATGACTGTTGACAATCCAATCCCGGAAAATCCACCAGCCACGATGACCGTTTTGTTCTGGAATGATGTTGTCATATTGACAGGTGTGATCATCAGTCGGACTGTTGTCGAGTTTCGTAGAGATGCTTTGGAGGTACACAATGGTTTCAATTTCCGAATCCAATGCTTATAAGAAAAAGAGTCTCTCAGTCGTGCTCGGGCCCTATTTAACAAAGAAGAGTCGTAATCCTTTATGGCGGGAGCAGTACGTAAGGAACACTTTCCTATGTAACATCTTACTTGTATATAACGGATTGGCCAGTCTTGGGCACGTAATTGCATTCCCTTTACTCTTCCTTATTTGTTTCATATCCACCTTTGCCAAATATAACATTGTAAGTGGGTCTGTATCCTGCACTTGTGATCTCTGCCCCGGACAAGATCCGGGGCAGGTTCCCCGCGTGGGGGTGCTCAAACGTTGCACATGACTGGTTACTGTGCGTCAAAGATAGGCAGCTCGAGGGGAATTGTAAGACAGAGCCACAAGAACATACCATCACATACCATACAAACGGGGTCTTTTATAACCTCGGGTAATCAACAATAGCATCTGCTATTGTAATGGTTTTACGTTCCCAGAGGGCTGGGTTTGTTGTGAGAGTCTAAATGATTTGCCTATGTCATTTCCTTCGAATTCAGAATGTTACACCCCTCTGATATGGAGAAAGCCCGACAGAGGTAGCTTAATATGTAGAAAACAACCACTACTCGTATAGAATTATATCTAATTACCATTCTGTTATTTTCTCAGGCAGTGCACAGGGTGATATATTCACTAGACTTAGATTGCTTGAAAATAGGCTGATACTTTCAGGTTCATCTTTCCCTACAGGCTCTAGAGTACGGAATGGCTTGCTCCCCTGTGGGTCTTCCGCACCGATGTTGTAAACCTTTTAGTACGTAACTCCTTGACCCGCCACAAATTTATGGGCCGGAGCTCTAACCTCGGCCCTTAGCCTCGGAAGCCGGTACTAGAGGATTGTACTTGAATGAAGGGAGAAACGTCTCTTAGGAACTTTGTGTTCACCTTGTCATTCCCTCACCAGGCCAATATAGGTTATTCCGCAAGAAACTGGGATCATCATGGTTGTCAATTCTGCGTATACGATCGATATACCACAGTGCAGTTTTGTTGATTTAGTTTTCGGTCCACCGCAAGCCCAGCTGTCAAGCAGCGAACCTCTTCTTCTCGACCATGCAAGGTCTCAAAGTCACTTCCTGACTAGACACACATTTCGTGTCTGGTCACAACGGCTTGGTGGTGGAATGACCGCTGCTGACCTCCGAAAGGGCGATAGAGTCATGGTAGTGAGTGGAAATCGATTGTTTTATTCTGTCGCATTCATGGGGGTTATTATGGCAGGTGGCATATTCACCGGCTGCAACCCGGCATATTCGTCCCACGAACTGGCACACCAAATGCGTGACTGTGACCCAAAATTCATATTGAGTCAAGGTGGTTCCACGCTCCAAACGTGTCTTGAGGCAGCAAGGATGGTTGGCAGCGGACACGAAAAGCGTACATTCGTCTTTGATGATCGAGTTTTCGACTCGGTCGAGCAGCCTGACGAGCAAGGTTGCCCATATTGGAGCAAACTGATGCTATTCGATACCGAGGCAGAGCGGTTTGCGTGGGATTCTTTGACTGGACCGGACGAAGCGCGAAAAACTACACTGGCCCTGAACTACTCTTCAGGGACGACCGGGCTCAGCAAGGGCGTGGAAATAACACACGGAAACTACGTCGCCAATGTCGTGCAGTATAATCACCTGATGGCCCATGACCGGGATTATGATGCAAAACACCGGCAAAACGAAAGATACCTCTGCTTCCTACCACTTTACCACGCTATGGCACAGATGCTCTTCTTAGGCGTGGCGCAGATTCGCCATGCTCCAGTCTATATAATGGAGAAATTCGACTTCCTGCGCGTTCTACAGTCAGTGGAGATATATCGTATTTCCGACCTACTCATCGTTCCGCCAGTGGCTGTCATGTTAGCTAAACGGCCAGAAACGAAAAAATTTGATCTGAGTTCTGTCCGATATATCGGATCAGGGGCTGCTCCATTAAGCCGAGAACTGTCGCAAGAGGTGGAAGATCTATGGCCCCAAGGCACAATAAATATCAAACAAGGATGGGGTATGACAGAGTAAGTCCATAGTATAACCACAACAGGATTTAATCTTGCTGGCATCAACTTTTAAAAACAGTTTGCTAACATCAGCATGTGGTTTAGGTTAACATGCGCATTGTTAGGATGGGAGCATACCAAGACTAGCTACAGCAACAGTGTGGGCTGGCCTCTCCCTAATTCCCAAGCCAAGATCATGTCCCTCCCGGACGAAGCTGCTGATTCAGACAACCTTCTCTTGCGGAAAGAACTGGGGCCAAATGAACCGGGTGAACTGTGGGTACGAGGCCCTCAGGTGATGAAAGGGTACTGGAAAAACCCGAAGGCGACCGCGGATACTCTGACACCAGATGGGTGGGTGCGGACCGGCGACATAGCGTATTACGACAATGAGCAGAAGTTCTTTATCAGCGGAAGGTTGAAGGAACTTATCAAGGTCAAGGGCCTGCAGGTTGCGCCTACGGAGCTTGATGGAGCTTGTCTGGAATGCAAAGAAGTTGCAGATGCAGCAGTTGTTGGGGTGACAATAAATGATCAGGAGCACCCGCGTGCATATATAGTATTGCGAGAGGGTACCTGCGCAACCAAAGAGATTGCACGAAGTATAGCTGTCCAGGTTAACGCGAAACTATCCCACCACAAGAGAATAACAGGTGGCATCGTGTTCACGGACTCTATACCAAAAAATCCCAGTGGGAAGATCTTGAGACGTCTCTTGAGGGAGCTTGCACAAAATGAGGTGCATATGGAGCAGATGTACAACAGAACTAAGGCTTTCCTATAGTTTGGTACTTCATACTAAGTACAACAGGAATTTATTAGGAACATTGAACTTATTTCAATTTTAAAGGATAAGAAAACAGGGCGAGATAATAGGGTCATAAACAGTTCTGCTTAGGCAAATATGCTACAAAATAGGCCGATTGAGAGATATGATATGACTGATCTGAGGCATCTGTTATTCCTTCAGGGAGGCTTGCCTTTATCTCTATTTGTCCCAGGCTGAGGTTCCGCAGTTTCAATAGTCGCGTTGCTGGTCGACCACATGACAAAGCTATCCCACATCAATTACTTCAAAACAGAAATAGGACACTCTCCTCTGCTATCCCATTCTGGTCTGGAACGACCCCGGCACCCAGATGGGACATCGTAGACCAACACAGATTTGGCAAGTTTAAAGGGAGGAATAAGGATCAATATGTCATCCTTTGTACCCCATTCCAAGCCGCTCATTTTCTGGAAATACTCTGGATGTTCGAATATATCTGGGCGACATTTCTGAATGGCCGCGCGTGTTTTCATGATCAAACTCGACATTTCATCATAGTGACGAAGATGGAGTTCACTGTTGCGTGCCCGCAGAGCCTCTTGCTGCTTGGGTGTATACGCGCCCAACCCATAATACCAGATATTATATTGGGTGAGCGAAATGTCAATGTCAAAGGACATATCGCCCTTTGTTCTTAAAAATAGAGCATGAATGACAGCGGTTGCACCAGCAAGACCCATTTGGTAGTCAGAATTTGCTATATAGTATAAGAGATATGTTAACAATCTGTCACCTTAGGGGAATCGAAAAGATGCATGGATCATCCGCTACTTACGAAGAAGAGGCACAACCGGCTCATCCAATCCCAGAAACTTTCCTTGAAGCCAAGCAATTCCAGTTAGGCAGTCGCTGATTTGTTGCCAGCCGGAACGATGGGCAAAAGGCCCTTTGAACCCGTAACAGTTCTCGCGGAAATATATGAGAGAAGTATTGATCTTCCGGAGGGCGTCGTGGTCAAATCCCAATCTCTTCAACACACCCGGCCGATATCCATCGATCAAAACATCAGAGGATTTGATGAGTGACTCAAACGTGGCAAGGCCTTCTTGGCTTTTCAGGTCCAGATTCACATCGCGCTTGCCAGTGCTCAGATCAACCCAAGTACTAGTGATGTCCGGCAGTGTATTCGAAGTCACCATGATCACTTCGGCTCCTAAGACAGCCAAAATTTTCGAAACTACAGGGGCTGCGATTACGCGCGAGAAGTCAATCACTCGAATCCCTTCTAATGGCGGTGAGGTGTTCTTCGTTGGCGGCCATGGTTTCCGAGGTGCAATGTATGATTTCAACCTATAAAGAGGCTCTTGCACCATGGCCCGACCTTGATCACAATCATTCAATTAGTTTTGGTATTATATAAGCGAAGGTGGATTGGCCCTTACATGTTCCGAGGCGAAGAATTCTTCTGGGGTATTGCAGACCACCCCAGCCTGCCGATATTGTTCATTGGCAGCTTTGTCTATGTCCTCAGCATTCCATTGCGCGACTTTCTCTGCGTATATCATGAAAGCTTCTTCATCGGTGACATCCTGCTCACTGACCCCTAGCATCTGCATCGTGTGAGCAGCATTCATCGAGCCGTGGAGATGAAACCATCTGTCGTCTTTGGTGTTGTATATATTAGTGCATTGCCGATGGATTGGCTTTCTCATCTGATAGAGATCACCCTTCTGACATTCGGCCACAATTTGCGGATGCTGAAGTACCGATTGTCCATTGACGGTTGGGAGGATGAGCGACATCAGGAAAAGAGTCGCGACATCACTTTCTGGTGTGTCACTAAACAAGCCTCTAGAGCCCGGGCAGGAACGTATAACGTACGTGTTTACCTCAATATCTTGGTAATCAACCCCGTACCTATCTTTTGCAACCGCGCTGGCCGCCACTGCCACTAAAGCATTCACTGCTGAACTTGACTCCGTCATCTTCAAGGGAGTGGGAACAAAAGATGAATCATCTCCTCCAACAAACCGTATATGTTGCGCAGCTTCCTTGAAAGACTCTGGAAAATCAATTTTTCCACCGTCGAGCAGGCGGCCGTGAAGAATGCCGGCCGACTCTGACCGCACTGAATATGATGCCATAACGCTGTTATTCTAGTTCCGAATTCTCCAAATTTCAAGAGCGGTGCGAGGTTGTTGTGTCGTATTCGTAAAATTTGGAAACTCAGCGAGATTTACCGTCTGGCAGCACTCGAGCAACCCATCTTGTATTGCCTTCTTTATACGATAGATGTGAGGATGTGATCTGTCTAGGAAGCCTCGGTCGCGGTAGTGTTCGGCCCGGGGGACTTCACCCAGCCAGGGCAAGCGTCCTATCACGGTCCTTGAACAGCTCATTTTACAGTTACACGGCGAGCGGTGCAATAAAAGTAAGCTAAATATCCGCGGGATATATTATTTCATTTGATTTGTGACTGATACAAAGTTATATCGAAGTCCTTCTCCCTTTCACCGTTTAATTGATCTCTTCACTTCCCGAGTGGTAACCTTACTGACCATATTCAGTTACGTGTCTACCAACTTCTTTGAAAACACGATACAATGGAACGACTGGCAGAAAAACGGGCTGTCAGAGTAACTAACTGCTCCGGCTATCATGGTATCATTGTTGCTCCACATCATAATACGATGATCCTCGCTAATTCGAAACTAAAGGCGACCCTGCCTCTGAGATGTACACCAAGCAACACTTGGAGATGTGGATTTTATCACCGGCGACTACTTGGCTGGTAAGCTAATTTTAGAGAGGAAATCTGCTGTCCATAAGCTAACGATGTTATTTTCTTTACCTCCTGACAGAGGTCAACATGGCCCAGAATGCTCAGGCTTACCGGTCCAAACTACATCCTGGTTTCGAAGAGACAGCTTGGGAAGGATTAAAGCAGTCAATCAACGTGGTTGCTAAGAAACGTATCCGAGTTGTAATTAATGGAGGAACCCTGAATCCTCAAGGCCTGGCACAGAAGGTTGACGCGCTAGTAGGTCCTCTAGTTCATCGAGCAGCCCAACAATAACCATAAGAAATGGCTAACCAGTGGAATTTCCCAGGCCCGTGAAAAGGGACTCCAGATTCACGTTGCATACCTCTCTGGCGATGATGTATACAGCAAGGTAGGCCCGATCATGCCGGCCACAACGACACAATTGCCGCATCTGGATACGGACAAATCTTCTCCCATGACGTACGCATTTCTTCATGAAGATGCCAACGATCCAGTTCCTATGGTTTCAGCCCATGCTTACCTTGGTGCTCGAGGAATTGTCGATGGTCTGAGACGGGGTGCAGATATTATCATCTGCGGTCGCGTCGCAGATGCAAGCCCAGTTATTGCAGCTGCTTGGTTCTGGCATGACTGGTGAGAAACTGACTATGACCGGCTAGCCGGAGCCCTCATTGCAGGACATCTCATTGAATGCTCAGCGTACGTTACTGGATCCAACTTTTCTGGATTTGATAGATATAGTCTGCAAAGCCTGGTCTTTCCAGGGTTTCCGGATTGCGGAAACTGCGGATGATGGTTCCTGTGCCATCACTAAACACCCCAACACACAGGGTATGGTGACCATCGACACAGTCCGCTGCCAGTTTCTTTACGAGTTGCAGGGAAACGTCTATCTCAATAGTGATGTTGCAGCTCGCCTTCATGGGATAAGAGTGAATTCTGTGGGATTAGACCGGTGCGTACCCAACACACGTGAAAGGGTTCTGACATTGTGCTGAGCTGTGTAATTCCACCTAGTGTCCACGTGTCTGGTATCACAGGTTCTGCACCTCCGCCGACTACCAAGCTCGCCATATTCTATCCAGGTGGCTATCAGGCTGAAATTCTACTAAACGCCAGCGGATATTCTGTACCTCAAAAGTGGGACTTGTTTGAACAGCAAGCTGGAGCCTTGATTCTGGAGGGTGTGGTCAAAAAACTTCAAAACTTGGAATTTCAGAGGTAATTTTGAAAAGACCATTTTGGTAAAAGAAAGCTGACCGAAAGCCATGTCATGAATCGGCACACCTGCCCCAAACCCTTTATCGCAACTTGAGAGCACTGTATATCTCCGTATTTTCATTGCGGGCGACTCCGAGACAACCGTCTTGGAAGTTCCTAAGGCCATTTCCCAAATATCTCTGAGACACTTTTCTGGTAGGAGTCTAATAAGCGTTTGCCAGTCCCAATCATATTAACCGCGAAGTGTGACAGGTTTACATTCGAGCCTTGATAAGAGGACTGCATATCCTCGACCTTTCCTTGCATATTATCCAGCACTAATAGAGCAATAAGAGCTCGATGAGAAGATTAATTTTGTTGAAGGGGCAAAATCTTCTCCTACTCCACGGGTCATCCACCGAGATATGCGTCCCTGAAACCTCGCGACAATTATGATACCGACATTGTTCAAGAGTGGAATGTACCAACAAAAGACATTCGCTTGCGAGATATTGCGCTTGCACGATCAGGTGACAAGGGAGATAACTTGAACGTTGGGATATTTGTCACTGATGCTCGGCATTGGGATTGGCTGCGGTTGTACATGAGTCGCCAGACGATGAAAATGCTCATGGGGTGCGATTGGAATAGTTCATTCTTCATTGAAAGAGTCGAGTTCCCCCACATCCATGCTGTTCATTTCGTTATATATGGCATCCTTTGACGTGGAGTGACTAGCTCCAGTCGCTTGGACGCATTTGGCAAGGGTTTCGCGGATTATATTCGGGATAAGCACATTCAATTTCCTACTGAGCTTCTTTCTAACTTGAGTCTGTGAATAGAAATAGTCGAACTATCAGTGCGGACCCCGCCAGCCATTTATCCAGATGAATCAATTAATTGATTATGTCTCAACAAAATCTAAGAATATCACATTCTAAATACATGCAATAAAGTTCATTCTTCTTCTCCTTTCTTTTGACTAAATCGTCGTTTCTGTACAATGGTTCTCTACAATGATTGACAGAAGAGTGCATGACAAAAACTACTTGGAATCAGTAGCGCTGCTCTGATACTGGTGGAATGAAGGCGAAACGGGGCGCGGCTAGAACTCAAAGTTCAAAACATGCATAAAGAAGCTGGGCTCGTTGGTTTTTAATAGGGGATTCGGTCAGACTTACTTTGAAAGCAAGTGGACATTATTAACATTATTGTCAGTGAAGGAGTTCCTTCGTCCATCCCGATTGTTTTGAAGGTCAGTTATGCTATTTTCCCAGTAACTTTCATCCTTGACATAATAAGCAGATTACATGCCAATTCTACTAGGTGCGCCTGATTGGGCCTCCCCCATTCCTCCCGCGTTCATCGAGATGTCGCCCTTCCCTCACTATGCATGATGACGAACTTACCCCGGAATCAACTTTTGGGTTAAATGCGACCAATCAAAAGTGTGAAGTGAATGATCTTTCAGTGGCTCAAGCAAGTAGCCGATAGAACATGGCTGGATGATGCCCACAATCTCTGCACTTCCCATTCCGCCATACAGGGTACGCAAGCTGCCGTAACTAGGGTGGGTCATGAAAATACTCACGTTTCCAACGCACACAACCCATTATTGAAAGGACCCGGTAAGCCGAGGTAATAAGCTATGCCGCGATCTTGAATTTTAGGAAGGTTTAATCTGTACGCATGGAAGCCAATGCGACCATCCGGCTCTTCCGTGCGAGGAGACAGTGGCGAGACGGTGAAAACCTGATTGGACCCACGGACGCCCTAATCTATTCCGTGACAACACGAGTTTCTCACCGCCGAGGGGAAACAAATAAGTAGGTAAGTACAGGTGGTGCACTGCTCATCACTTGAATTGTCCTAGAGTGTTGCAAGCGAAGGCGGAGAGCTGTTACGTACCCCAAGAGTTAGGTAAGAGCCTAGCGCAGGCTGCCCGCTCGAGAAGTCCTCTAGGTGCAGTTGCACAAAAATACCCCTTCCGATTGGTACACTCGTTGATAATGCAATCGTGAAGGTGCTTCCGAGATAACCGAGGAGCTACATAAGCGGAAATATTGGGCAAGTAAACCCCATGTTAACCAGGAGAGCCGACCTCGGCTTTTAAATTGCTAGGTGTAGGAGTTGCGTCCATTAGCCTGCTTGTTTCCCCTTGGCCCCTGCAGAAGACGGAGTTGAGGACAAAGTTCAACTTATCTCTGGTCGGGAATACATGTTGTCTGTTACGGTAAAAGTAATCAAGTCAAAAGGCTCACGTCGGCAGCAGGCCTCGCCGAGGCCGGAAGGGTACATGACTGGGCTGTTTGACTCCTTGGGGGATTTATACAATCTGAACCTCTCCAAATGTATGTTGAGAAAACACGGGTGAGAAATATGCTGGCACATACAAAAAACAAGCAGAAGCTGAACCTCCTTGGGAATACTGCGAAACGCGGCATGGCAGCAATGATCAGAAATGGCCCAGGGTCATGGTTTCGACTAACCATTCACCACACCGCTTAGAAATAATCTTGTCTTCGAGTGAAATTTATTCCTATCCGCAACTGAAAATGGAAGTTTATGTACAAATCATACGAATTCAGCCTTCTTCAGATGAGTCCACTCCATTTCTCAAACCTCAATTGCCGATATCATGACACGGCATCGCTTCACTGCGAGGAAGAACTATCGCATGCCCCGTTTGAAGAGCGTAAAATAGTGATAGCTTGGATCAGAGGCATCGGTAGCACCAGATGCTACCACTTTGACGGATGGATTATCCCAAGCATCCCGGGGCTGCTCTCGTCGAGCCCAATCAACAACTAAGCGTCGGTGCAGAAATTTCCAGACATTGTTCCGTCGTTCAAACTTGTCCATGTATCTACCACCAGCAATTATTACCGCGTTGTGGTCATCAATATCAGGCATATTCTGATGGGCCGAGATATATGACTCCGCCTCTGCGTAGTCACCGAGGACTTTGATGTAGCAGTTCGAGACCGAGTGATGAATGCCGGTGGACTGTGCGTAGATTGGCTTCAACTCTTCGATGAAATCCGCAACATTTCCACTCTCGTTTATTCCGTGGTCGTCTTTAGCATCCTCGTGGTACAGTTCTTTGACGCGATCAAAATCGCACCGATCCACCATCTGACAATAAGAATAGATGAGGTCGCGGATCTCGTCCTTATCAAGCAGGAGCTGGATTCTTTTGTTGCTTGTCATTTTCGTGTTGTCTTGTAGGTGTTTGGGATACACGAATTGAAAAGACAAACCATTTCGATCGCTTAAGCCATTATGTAGCTTCCAGACCAGACGGCACTTACAACGTAGTATAGATTATTAGTAACTCTAAAGTGTGTGAGATTTACGAAATCAGGAGCAAGTACTAATTACAACCACAATGCTTCATGTAATGTCAATCTTGCTGGTAAGAATTTCCGAAGTTGCCACAAATTGCAACCACAGATGTACGTAATCCCACGTCTTATGGCCAAACTGAACGCAGGAGGTTGAGATACGAGCCCACATGAGTCTTCCGTCGAAATCTTAATTGAAGGATACATGCGATACGTCGAGATGGGGAAAAGCCAGAGATTATCTGGGACCAATATAGGTGCAATCCTGGAACCATTTCCATTGTTTGATCTCAGGCATCGCTTTGCGAAGCTTGGTTCATCGCTAGGGTTTCTAGACTTGTTTCACTGATAGCTCAGTAAACTCAGGTTCGGCTTACAGGTTGCCCTTTAAATGGGAGCCGCCGTCCGTCACTACTACCGCCCCATTTAAATGGCTCCCCGCGCGACTTGATAGAAAGACCACTAGGCCCGCAATATCCTCCGGGCAACCAAGCCGCTTGTTAGGAGAGCGCTCCTCCAAGTGCTTTGTACCGCCTTGAATGCTAATCATACCGTTTGCCATTTTGGACGGGTAGAATCCTGGGGCAATCGCGTTGCACAAAACATGGCGAGGACCAAGCTCAACAGCCAGATTTTTGGCCAGATGCATGACGGCGGCTTTACTGGCGGAGTAGCTGAAAACAGCATTCCTACCTAGGCTCCCAAGACCAATACCGGCAACAGAGCCTGTAACCAGGACTCGCGAGGGTTCTTCGACGGTTGCATTTACGGTGAGAAGAGGAAGGAACCTTTTGACAGTCAGCGCAATGCTCGGATCATCTCGTCCGACCATATGTGTAAATTACTGAAGAATGAAAGGACCTACTTCTGTACCAGATAAAAGACACTCTTCACATTTAATTCCATCACCTTGGTGAACATGCCTTCGGGATGGGTTTCGAACTTCTCGCTCCATGTAGCCCCGGCGTTGGCGAAGAGTATATTAACATGATTGGTGGTCTTTCGCACCTCCTGGGCAAGTCGTTCGAGTTCCTTGGTGCACGAGTTGTCGGCAGGCACAGCGATAGCAAGCGCACCAGGCCGCTTATTGGGGAGTTTATTGAGGGCGGCAGCAGCATTGGCGCAGGCCTCCGCTTTGCGCGAGGTGATGTAGACTTTGGAGCAGCCGGCCTGTAGAAGACTGCTTCCGTCAGGCAATCCATCAATTCAGATAAGCAAGTAAGACGTACCCGCTAGCTGCATGCAGGCCGAGGCCCCGAGAGCCACCTGTCACAACGGCAACCTTGCCCTCAAGAGAAAAGATAGAATCGAAGTTCTTCAGCTGGACCTGTTCGTGGAGGGACATGGTGACGGTTGAACCTGATATTGGTAAGAATGGTCGTAAGTGGGAAATCAGGGTCGTTCTATCGGAGACCAAAACGACCGGGGCCCCATCATTTTATCTGTTGCACCCGTCCGAGCTTCCTGACATCTCGGTTCGGGAAGAGCTATAGTAACCTGGGAACATGCCGAGGGTATGGCTCCTTCTAATGTGGGGCCAATAATCTAGCATCCGCGCGACAAACTGCATGGGCCTTGTTTCTCCTTTAGCCACATCCAGAAAGTGGATTTTCTAAAAACTTGCTCTCAACTGTGAATCAGAATGCTTTACCATTAGTACTCGGGATGGGCAGCAGGAAACGAGAGTCATTCCAGCTCCGGAACTGCCTTTGTCCCAATTCTATAGTGAAGAGAAGTAGATTGAACAAACAATCGCTCTCCGCGACTCGCAAATCTTAAAAAGCAAGAAAGTACCTCGAATTTATAGAGCCTCACAGAACAGGTACAGAAGACTCTCTACCTCCTCTGTGCGACAAATGACCATTATCGAGCAGATAAGTTGATCTTAAAATGAGATTTCACCTTTTCTGTGAATTATGCAATGCATCAGGCGGAAACTTAGATGAGGTGAGGCAAAGGAAAGCGAGCTAGCACTGATGCTTTTCCCATTACGGGAATGGAGAAGCAAGGTGATAGCCGAGCAATTTGGATTGTGCGAGTTGGCGCCAAGCGCAATAAGCTACACCATTAATGATAATATGGTCGAACGCACGATACTAGGTTTCCTGAATGCAAAATCAAAACACCTGCTGTATGGAAGGATGTCGTGGCTCTTTAAAAAAGATCGATATTTTCCCTGGAAGTAACGCTTAAGGCGAAGGTTTCCAGGGACCTTTATTTCTGTCCCTCTTATCGACTTACGTCGTGCTGTACTTTCTTTATTAGTTTGCTACTCTGGACAGACAGCATTAATTATGTAATAACCATGAGAGAATGTTGACCACTGTTTCACCTCGGCCCGTGGTGGACGAAGCAGACCTGCACTCTGCCGTCATTGCCCCCTTATATCCCAGATCGTCCCTTCTTCGTAATTTTTGCCTCGTAACTACTTCATTCTGTTTCCCATATCTTGTCAAAGTTTCTACGTAACTATATCAGCCATTATGGCAGAAGTCCGCCAACCGATCGATATTCCGGCCCTGGAACGGTATATCAGCCAGAATGTGCTGGATATCCAGACTCCAGTTGATGTCAAACAGGTACGCTGCACGCACTGACTTTATCATGTATTCAAGTTATACATCCTATCTGATCTTCGTATAGTTTGGATTTGGCCAATCCAACCCAACGTACCAGCTCACCGCCGCGAACGGAAAGAAGTTCGTCATGCGGAAGAAGCCCCCAGGCAGTCTCCTATCTAAGACAGCCCACAATGTCGAGCGAGAATACAAATTCATTCACGCACTTGAACAGACGGACCTACCTGTGCCTAAGGCGCTTTGCCTTTGCAAGGATAGCAGCATTATTGGAACACCATTCTACATAATGGAGTTCCTGGACGGGAGAATATTCGCTGATCCTGCGATGCCTGGGATAAATCCAGGCGAGCGAAACGCGCTGTATGCATCATTTCATCTCTTTATACTCCATACATCCTGCTTGATTACTTGATTAGAGATGGTGGCTAATTACCGCAGATGGAGGGAAGCTATCTACACACTCGCTAAGCTCCATCAGGTGCTTCCTGACGACGTGGGCCTGGGAATGTTCAGCAAACCGACAGGATTCTACAGTAGGCAGATCGCCACATTTAAGGAGATTTCCATGTTACAGGCGCAGGTGAGGGACATTGATACTACGGACCCAGTGGGTGAACTCCTGCACCTCTCTGAAATTGTGCGGTTCTTCGAGAACCGCGGGACACAGCCAAAGGACCGCCGCACGCTGGTGCACGGCGACTACAAAATTGACAACATAGTGTTCCATAAAACGGAACCGCGTGTCATCGGGATTCTGGACTGGGAGATGGCAACAGTTGGCCACCCGCTGTCCGATTTCTGCAACCTCACCAGTCCATACTTCCTTACCGTGACTGGACAAGATGTGAATAACTTCCGCATGGGCGCAGTCGTTGGTCTACCAACTCGCGCGGATTGCATTCGGTGGTACGCTGAGTTCTCTGTCTACGACGTTTCGCCGGACATCGCCTGGGGTGACGCCTTCATGACATGGCGCAGCTCTGTTGTCTTGCAAGGTATCAAGGCGAGGTACGCGCAGCGCCAAGCCAGTAGCGCCAAAGCGCATGAATATGCCAAGGATATGATCCCCATGGCCCTTTCGGCGTGGCAACGAGTCAATGAATTGCAAGAGCAGCTAGCGAAAGCGAGCAAACTATAGAACGGAGCAAAATTATCCTGTACGCTACTGATCGTCGGATGGTGGAGGGTTCTCAAATAGTAGAGTAATGATTTGGAGCTGCGGCTTACTGATGCTGTTGACTGTGTGCGCACTTGGTGGCGGACTGTGAACGATAGAACTCTAGCCTCGACCTGAGCTAGCCCCTAAACACGGCGCTCTTGGACCCCACACCAAACCAAATTTCCAACCCGACTACTGGTTACCCCGCAGATGCCGATCGGACTTGCCGGGTACGGAAGCAATTCACGACCTAGTGGATCTGGGCAGCGGTCAGCAGGAACCCAGAACACGAAATACTCGCTGCCCGCCCACTTGTGTGCGAAATGAAGTTCCTTCAACTTCTTCTGTCCTCACCCGTAGCATTTAACATTCTGCGGAGGCATAGCATAAGCTTCTCAACTCCTTCGTAGGTGAAATGTTTCAGATATAAAAACAAGAGCTTGTTGGTCCCTTCCTGGTGAGCCTGAAGCCCGGAGCGGAATAAACCAGGCAGATGAACTGCTGCAATATTAACGTTGCTTGCTCCAAAGTCATAACCCCCGCTTCTTCAGCGCTCCTCAGGCCTCCACCTTTTTGTCTGGTAAAACTAATGGACACCAGGGATCCGATCCGAGTGCGGGGTAGGGGTAAATGATAAATGCCCCAGTTCTTCATCTCTCGGTTCTTAAACAGAAACTCCGATAAAGCGTTATCGATGCCGCCTCAAGGGGATAAATTGCCATCGTCCGAGGAAGGTCCAGAGGAGGGCAAGGCCCAGCGGTCCTCTGAACTCATGACGGAGCAAAAGTAAGGGTGGTATCTATTAAGTCTCGAAATCAATACGAGAAGCTGCCTAGTCTCGAATTCCCCCTGACCATTTTTCTCTAGACGCGCGCGTAACCGTCTGTCACAGCGATACTTTCGCGAACGCCGAAAATTGCGCCTTAAGGAACTGGAAACGCAAGTCCAATCACTCTCCGCGACCGACAGCGACCGGACCGCACGATTGGCAGCAGAGAACGCCAAGCTAAGGAACTCGTTGGTACAAACAAGGAAGAGAATGGCACAGTTAAAATCAATGATAGCGAGCCTTGACGAGACACTGGAGGGCTTGCTGGATGCGTCATACTTGACTACTACGTGCATGCAGGACGCAACTCAGAAGGTCGCAGTATGTAATGTTCCATATTCCAACATTCTAAGACTGTACTTATAAGAACTGGTACAGACTTCGAAAGAACAAGATCCCACAGGTGTTCCAACTCTGCCGGATGCGGTAACACCTGCCGTCAGTCCTCCGTGCGTCCAGCATCAAGTACCCGAGGACCAAACAGTAGACCAGACACGAGAAACTTATCAACATACGCCTCCGCTAGATCATTTTAACATCTCTGGAAGATCGCCAGTGGGGCGATTTGGATCATCAGCAGCAGCGGAGTTGGAGAGTAAGTGGGCAATCTTTCTACCTTTGTATTTTGTACTCATGCCCCCCCCCCCCAGATGACTCCCCAGCAGCGGTGGACTCAACAAACCAACATAACAACATTAGCTATCCTTTAGATATAGACACTATGCTTCTAAGTGTCGTACCGGATGGCTCGAATCCTGCAACTTTCACAGGAATGCCGTGGAATAGCCCACTATCGCAAAACTGGCCGGATGTATTCGAATATCATTCTATGTTGCCCAATCGGCATCAGCCACAACACTCAAATCCTTGTGTATCATGGAGTCAGGACTTGGATCAATTGGAACTGGGGATAAAATCCCACCTCCAGCAACGCGGAGAAGATGGAACTAGTAAGGAATTGTGAGTATAAACTCTCATACGATGCAACAATTTATTAACAACCTGTCATAGCTTATATCAGTCATGCACGGCGTTGATACTGCTTTTCTCCCGGAACGTGTGGCCGGGACCTCAATCTCTGTGGTTCAGTTCCTACTGCTACAAAATGATCCTCAGTGTGCTTAGCTGGCGGCTAAACCCGACACCGCAGACGTTCAGGGGACTCCCCCCATACCATGTTCCAACAGAGCTTCAGAGCCAAACCGCGCATTCTTCTATCATCGACTGGGTAACTATTGCTCCCTTACGGGACCGCCTGATCGAACTATACAATTTTAGCCCCGAACTTGACACCATTTTCATTGACCTAATGAACTATACCGTGGTTCAAGTGGAGGATCTCTCGGCCATATTCACTGGCGTGGAGAAACGAAGAGGCTTCATAGGGGTTTGGAATATATTAACACGGTCCAGGGGGCTTTCCGCAAAGCCGTTCAGCCACATACCGCGGTGTTGGGGATTAAGTCAATACCAGAATTCTCTGACAGCATTGAACTTGGACTACTACAGGCTCATAAACTGGCCTTACCAGCCCTTGACAAAACCTGCACCGCCACTGGTGATCTCATTGGTGATTGGCAGCCCCTATCACCGACGGAGTTGTTCTGTTCTGCAGCAATGTCTCAGAAGATCTATTATCAGTTGGAGTTGTACCGGTCGGATAAATGCTGGCGTCTTGACCCGACCTTTTTTGACAAGTACCCGGAGTTGAGATGGGATGGATATCTAGATGTCGTTGCCTCGGGAACTCGGTTCAGAGTCGATGCTCAAGGCTCTCATGGATTTGGTAACCAGCCTTGCCGTCTCACACTAAGTGATTACCAAGAGGTCTTTCTTAGTGTTCAAGCAGCTTGGTAGCTTAACGAGATGAATACCTTAGAGAAGCGTGCGAGCCGTGTCGTTAATTGCAACATCACACTCAACCATCACCGATTTGTTTTTTAACTCCTTTCAAATAAGTACTAGATAACCTTCTAAAAGGACTACAAGCTCGCTATTTATAATGCTACTTTTATACTAAAGATATCAAAATAATCTTTACTAATAAATTCTAAAATTGATATTTAGGGGGATAAGAGAATAAGATATCTTAATTACTAAGCAACATAGGTTGATTAATATACTTAAAAATTATGTTACTGGGTATAGCTTCACCTTTAGTGGAGGTGTTGAAATAATATGGGCGGCGGGATCAACCACGGTGGCCGGAATGGCCCGGAACTACGTCAAGGTGGACCTTGTCGGCTACTTCTTACCTACCGTATCAGTACGTAATGCTTAGAAATAATCGGGAAGTTATTTATCCGTGGCGATCTAGCTGGAACTTCTCTACTCTTGTTTGGAAGATCTGTCAGACAAGGCTGACGTAAAATTGTTGATTAACTAACAAATTACCTCTACAGATCTCCCAAAGAGTCAATGGCATGACAAATTGTTGTCAAGTATATTGAGCGGACGATGTTCGAACTCCTTAAAGCACTGTCTACAACCGTCCTGGTCATGACTTGAAACTCTCCGTATTGCGACTCCATCTTCCCATATTGTCCTCTATACATCAGGATTCTGACAACGCTACAACTGCGATATGTATGCCCCTTTGAACATTAATAGCCAACAAGCGGCAAGGAAGCTTAAGGTCTACGAGTTCGACGAGAACAACCCAAATGACCTAAAGCGAAGGGCTGTTAATCAGTCCCGGCCCATGAAAGTCATTGTACTAGGGACTGGAATGTCTGGAATCATTGCAGGCATTTTCTTTCCGAGGGAAATCGAAAACCTTGATCTTGTCATATACGACAAGAACACCGACCTTGGAGGGACATGGTTTGAAAGCAGGTTAGGCATTCTAATGACATGCAAACATCAGGTCACTTACATGGGGTTGCAGATATCCTGGAATCGCATGTGACGTACCTGCTCATGCATACCAGTTCACCTTCGAGAGTAACACTCAATGGAGTAGCTTCTGGCCCAAGGGACCGGAGATTAATGCATATCTCAAGTCAGTAGCCACTAAATATGACGCCATCAGGTACATGAAGTTTGGGAAGAAGTGCGACCAAGCAGTGTGGAACGAAACAACGGGCCAATGGTCGGTATATATGACGGATTTGGAAACTGGAATGGTATGTGTGATGGCATGCAATAAACAGAGTGGCTTGCTAATATGAACACTCCTGTGACAGGTATTTGTGGACACTTGTGATGTTCTCATTAGTGCTACTGGTGCGTTGAACAAGTGGAATTGGCCAGACATTGCCGGACTTCACTCTTTCAAAGGCAAACTTGTGCATTCTGCTAGCTGGGACACGACTATTGACGTGACTGGAAAGCGTGTCGCTCTTGTTGGCGGAGGATCAAGTGGGATTCAAATTCTTCCTCAAATTCAGCCAAAGGCATCAGAAGTTTTGCACTTCATGAGAGGCAAGACTTGGATCCCACCAGTAAGCTTTGGTGCTCAATCACTTAGGCTGCAGGGCAACAACGGTACGTAAACTTCCGCTCTAATCATTGCATCAATCAGCTAACACTATATTTCCTACTTTCGAAGCACAAACTCCGGATGATCTCCTCGAAAAATTCAAAAATGATCCCAAAAGTTACATTGAGTTTCGGCGAAAGATTGAAAGTGATCTCCATAGCGCCTCAGAGGTCATTTACAAAGACACCGAGATGGCTCGCACCTTCCAGAAGATGTGTGAAGAGCACATGAGATCTAAATTGGCTAAAAAGCCAGAAATTCTGGATGCTCTTCTTCCCGACTATCCGGTCGCTTGTCGGAGGCTTACACCCGGGCCCGGGGTAAGTTAATGGTAACTACTCTTTATTGGGAATTTTGACTAATTAGAACCCGTGATATAGTATCTTGAGGCCTTGGTCCAGGATAACGTGAAATTCATACCAGAAGGGTTAGAAGTGTATGAAGATGGTGTTATCACCAAGGATGGGACACGCCATGAAGTCGACATCATCATTACGGCCACGGGCTATGCTGGGTGAGTCGACTTTGAACATCTCAAAACCGATTGACTGACAGCAGACCAGATATGGACAGCCTTTCCCTTTATATGGGCAAGGCGGCACAAATTTGCAAGCTCTGTGGGACAACGATGTGCCCGAGGCATACATGTCGCTAGCCCCGCAGAAAATGCCAAACTATTTCTGCTTTTTAGGCCCAAATGGTGGGCCCGGACTCGGTTCGACGGTCCCCTTCCTGGAAGCCCAAGGTAAATACATGATTCAGTGCATTAAAAAGCTCCAGAGGGAATGGTTGAAGAGCATCGTTATAAAGTGAGCAAAAGCCCTCGCGGTAGAAGATGCAACATTTTCTTACATACCGAATTGCACAGATATGACGCTGTCAAGGCGTTTGGAGCATACGTGGACAGGTTCTTGGAGCCTACAGTGTACAATGGGAATGTAGGTTTTCCTTGCTCTCTTCTGTCTAACCACCCAACTCCTTTTTGACCTTTTTTGACACCGAGTGTAGTGTCGGGTGTGGTGGAGGCACAAAGGAAATGGGCGACTGCTAGCCATGTGGCCTGGAAGTGCGCTTCATGGTATGTACGCATGGGCAAATCCGCGCTGGGAGGATTTTGACTACGAGCTCAAAGAGGAACAAGGGGGTAACCGGTTTAACTGGCTTGGCAATGGTTATGTGACTGCGCAGCTGGTCGGCGATGTTGCTGGGATGACATTTTATCTGGATGATGACAAATCCTTTGTCCCAGTTCAAAATCCACTCCTAGCTGGCAAGAGTCCGGCACCAGAGATCGCCAGTTAAGTCACCATACCATTTCATCAGTCCCTCGCCCCTTTAGCATGGTTATGCAAACTGGCCCTGCGATAAGCCTGATGAGCAGAATCAGAAGGCGGTTCTAGGTAGCAGACTGATTACTTTTCTAGATTTTTTTAAAAGCATTGTGCAGTATAACAATACAACACGAATCCCTGTTTCATCTATAAGGATCTAGAATTTTGTCTAAGTTCCATGTGTCGGAACTTCTGAATCATTCCCTCATTTAGCATAATATGCGAAGACAGGCAAATAAAGATGGCTATTCTATTGTTTGCGCTGTATCTCCAAGGATGTCAGTACATCCTCCATAATGCATCGGGATGCCTGATACGTAACCTTCCTTACGCTTATAGCAACTATTAAAGTTTCTCACTATGCAACATGGGACACCTAAAATTTTGAGTTTACGACGGAGTACTATTAATCAACTCCCTTGGCAGGCATTATTGCTACACGGGTAGTTTGTCGTGAAGTAGGTGCGAGGGAACAAAAAAGAAATGGCACAGGTAGCTAAAGTAACTTTCTGAATGACTTCAGATGTGCGGCCTATCCAAAAACAGACCTTCTTGACCGGCAAATAGACGGGCTTCTGTATCGAAGAGACCGTCAAAGACATTTTGCATAAACTGGACATCGTTGACTTGGTCAGATGAGTTGTTGAGTCCGTGCCACAACTCAAGCTCATTGTAGTGAACATTAGAATCCAAGTTCCAGCCACCACCGTCCAAATATGGATGTATTTCTCTAATGATCAAAGCTTCATTGTCCCTTCGTTGGCAGTGGAAGCCAGTATTGGGCAAAAGGGAAGGCATGTTTAGGAGCTGTCGCACTAAAATGTCACACAGCGGCTGCGAGACTGTAGGACAGTTTGTCCCTGGCGGTACCCCTGGTTTGGCAGCTTCTGGCATGCTTAGTCGAAGACCGGCTTTATGGACGACGGCTTCAAGAAAAGAGATAGCGACATCAGCCGGTGGGTGAAGTTCACGAAGCCGATCCAGTATTCGCATACATTGGTAGAAGCGCTGTAGGCTGGCTATCCGTGTACTGGATTCGTCTGACTTGAGGTCCAACAAAAGGACTATCGTAGCATGCAGGAGAGCGGTAACAGCAGTGGTCGGAAGATAGCGGATTAGATCAAGTTTATGGAGGTCCTCGGCAATAGTGCTGATCATCCCAGCAGCAGACCGCACTTTAGTCCACCAGTCTTCATGCAATCTAGCTGCCATAGTCGAATGCTGGGTTTCAGGAAGCATCTCTGGCCAAAATATAGTGCTGAATGTCATGAGGTAGATCATCTGTAAAAAGGCACGGTGGAGATGTAATGAGGACTCAGCAGGTGCCATATCCGTTCCTGCTGGAGAGATGTATCGTATCTCACAAGGGAGGTTTGCTTTCCAATTCTCAAGTTTGTCATACCAGTGCATGGCTGGGGACTTCCCTGAAAGGGAATTCTTTGGAATCAGGGTCTCAGTAACTTTAGCTCGACCCCCGAAATGATGGTTCAAGATTGAGCTTCGGTTGGGCAAGTCTCGGCTGACAGTGAGACATAATTTGCACTTATGAACGAACATCAAGGCCATATGTCGCTGGCATTCAACGTTTTGCAGTACCTCGCACCCGTCGAGCATATTCAACACTTCGGCAGGAAATCTCTTACACTCAAAATCGTCGACTGTCAACAACGGTACATTGTAATCATGGTCTTTCACATGCCTGGGTTGCCGCATGCCAATCGCAATAAAAGTGTCCCGAGTGTACGTACTCCACCAGACACGCTTCCAAAGCTGTTTCCTCCAAGTTTCCATCCTAGAGTTGGTTTGGTCAAGGTTAAGTCCAATGGTGCGGGACAGCGATAGGCTCACTCCGATCCAGTGCCAGGGACTTTTTAGGTCGTCGGGTGTCTCATATCCGCAGGTCATTAGAAGGAGCGATTGTACGACCGAGACTTGGTCATGCTCGGAGTCGAAGTCGTACAGCAACTGCAAAGTGATTAGCAATTTGACATGGCTAAATAAGTGGTCGACATACCCTAGCGCGTTGAAATAATGTCGCACGGGCAACTCTCCGGTTCAAAAATCCTCCATCACGAAGATGTCGTAAATCAACAAAGGCACTCGCTGCAAACATGGCCGTTTGAAACAGTAGTAGGCTTATATGATGGATCCCATCATTAAGCGCGATGATCTGTAAAAAGTGTTCAAGATCTAGCAAAGGAAGATGTGGATGCACATAACAAACGTATGATTTTAGCAGCTCAACCTGCAGTGCTGTATCTGGCACTGTTAATGCGCCCTTAGCTGCTAAATAGCGGATATCTTCGTGTTCCAGATTTCGTGGAAGTGCTTTAATGAAGTCTGGGAGACAGACGCGAGGAAATATCAATTGCTGGATAGCATCTCCCATCTTTTGATCAAACGTGCTAATTGCTTGGCTATGAGGAGACCATTCCTGCAGTCGAATATCAGCAGCGAAACCTGGGTGGTCTATTAGGATTAGCCAGAAACACCAGGCAGAACAGATGTAATTTCCACGAACTTTCTAAATGCGGCTTTTGCCGCTCCTGGTTCAGGCAATCTAATGGCGGAGGCTGTGTCCAAAATTCCTGTTGAGGGGCGCTTTTTAGGCCATGGTTGGCATTTCCCGATCCCAAATTATCTGATGATTCCGTATGTGTATCTCCCGTCCGTTTGTCGTCTCCTTGCTTAGGGCGAGGTCTGTTTGAGAATCAATGGAATGCACAATCAACAACTCTGAGATCTCACTAACATCCGCCGTTCTTCTTTCCTGACAACACATTCAACGCGATCCATATGGCAATTGGCACAGGGAGGGCCATTTTCGACAACATTGCACCGGACTTTCCTTGAGTGGCAGGATTTGCAAGCCCTCGAGGCTCTTTTTCTTGGGATCCAATTGTTGTCAGAATCGCGAGCAGACAATGCCTTCCGCTTCGTCTGCAACTCTGCTCTTAAATTCCGATTTTCCATGCTGTTGCAGCTTCAGTTAATGTATGGTACGTTGTAAAAGTAAACCTCAAGGCTCTGCAGGAGGAGATTTTTCAGATAATCTATTGATTTAAGTCCGAGAGTTGAAAGCAAGAAGGGAATGGCCAATTCTACGTTTTAAGGAGGAATGTTCCAAGGGTGGGTGCTTACTCATTTCCCATTCGTGGCAAAGGACTGATCACAGCGCTTTAGCTCCACGAGCATGATAATTGTTGGTACCACATATTCTTGATGCTTTTGTTCTAATGAGATACATTTTCAACCAATAGATTGCAATGGCCCACATCCCATAAAAGGTGCTAAAATATGCGGGGCGCTGCAAAGGTGGTCCCAGCTCTTCTATCTTACGTACCACGTGCTATACGTAATGCCCTTGTTGGTCAGATGATTAATAGCTATGCTGATGGTCTGGAATCAGAGGACGCCTTATTTCTTGAGTTTCTGCCTCAAAACAAAGAAAAGAAAAACAAAAAAAGAAAGTAAAAATTAAAATTAAAATTAAAATGCACACACACCATTTGCTTGACCAATCTTTAATCGCAGCTAATCTCCACCTGCACTGCTCTGAAGTGGTGGTTTCAATTATCTTCGTACGAATGCTTCCCTTGGTGGAAGATAAATTTTATTTGCGAAAATAAAACAGGAAACGAACCGATGCTGTATTTGGAAAGGATTGCTTTTCGATTTTCGTTCAACCGCGCCCGACGCATAGTTTGTGCGCACATATCTCTGGAAAGGAAGGAGACTACTGGCAAAAGGACCACGTAAGATTAAATTCATGTCCTCATTCATATATTAGGCATTGGGTTGCCAAAATATTCTGCACAACCTGATGGCAATAGTATTGTTACGACAGTGAATGCTTGTGGTTAGATTGATAACTTTATATACTACAATGACCTGGTTAGGGGTGTTACCAGTTCCAAATAGCACTTACTAGAAAAACAGCTATTCGTGAGGAAGAGTAACATGCTGTACAAGATCTGCCACGACTCATATAGAAGTTTTGAGGAAGTTTCCACCCTATAGGGAGACTCTCACGGGAGCCATTAGGATCTAGCTCTGGCTCAAGGTATAGTTCCTATTATAGCAACAAGTGTAGTTGTGAACAGCTATTTGAAACTATTATCAGTCATCCGACATGTTTAAGTTGCTCGTTTTTATTATTTCTCAATTATACTAAGTCCCGTGTGGGTTGTCATTCTAAGCCGGGCCTTTAGGTGACGTTCCGTCTGTATGTCCATCGAATAGCAAACCTTTTCCCGAGTAAATCCAGCATGCTCTAAACGAGTGTTTCAACACCGTATTTGCCACTATTAGCTCATTTGAAGGATGACAATCAAAACTTGTACGTAAGCAATAACTTAGTTACCTGAGTTATCCAGTATATCTGAAGAAATTGTGCACCTACTCATCCGCGTGAATGTGATCCAAAAGATTTCAACATTACCCTTTCAGATTAATCCTACAATAATGATGACTGACATGGACAAAGTATCTAGTGACCATGTAGCAGAAGTTGGAAATATAGAAGCCGTTCCTACCCATCAAGCCCGAGCTGATATCGATGTCGACGAGGAATATTCTTTTCAGGAACAAAGAAAAATTATTCATCGTGTTGACCGCCGATTGATCATTATCTGCGGAGCTGCCTATTGCATTAGTCTGATGGACCGCACAAATGTTTCAGTGGCAGCGATTACTGGGTAATGTTGCCCATCTATCTTGCAAGCATTCCATCACTGATGGTGTGAGAGTAGTATGATGGAGGACCTGGAATTATACATCGGCTTTCGATACGTAAGTTCCCTCCAATGTTATAATCTACTTGTGAGATTGTTGCTAATATATGACCTTAGTCGATCGTATTACTGGTCCTGTTTATTCCCTACATCTCGCTTCAGCCGCTGGCGAGTGCCGTTATCCGATATATTGGGCCGCGAATCTTCATATCTGTAACTGTCATGACCTGGGGGGCATGCTTGATTGTATGATCGTCCTCCACTTTGCCGCGAAGATCTCTAATTGGTCTTCAACTTTCGTAGGGATTTGCTTACTCCCCAAACTGGCAGACACTGTCCGGCCTACGGGCGGTTCTTGGAGCTCTTGAGGCAGGATTCTTTCCGGGCACTGTCTATCTACTGTCATGCTGGTATTCGCGGTGTGGGTTGTTCCTGTTGTCATCCTACTTGCATAGGTTGTTATCACACTGACACGCTCCGTTGCCTGACATAGACGAGGTCCACAGGCGCTACTCATGGTTTTACCTTATAGGATGCGGTGCCTCAGCTTTCTCTGGAATCCTTGCATTTGGTTTCAGTCAAATGAAGCCGCTCCAAGGTCTGAATGGGTGGCAATGGATTTTTGTCATGGAGGGCGTTGTTAGTGTGTCTGTTGTTGGATATTAGGGTCTGAGCTAATTTTCCGGAAGTTGACCTTCATTATCGGAATCTTCTGCATAGTGTTTGTTGTTGACTTTCCTGACAAGGCTCACAAAGAGTGGGCCTTCCTCAATGAGAGGGAGTGCGCATTTATCCTTCGGCGCCTGAACAGAGATAGGGCAGATGCTGATCCAGAAGCATTTCATATCGTCAGCTTCCTGCGTCCCGGGCTTGATATGAAAATTTGGGGGTTTGCATTCATTTTTTTGTTAGTAACACCCTACGATGTGTTTATCCTTAAGAAAATAATTACTGATATATTTCCAGCTCCCTCAATACCGTTACATACGCTATTGCATACTTCCTCCCAATTATTCTCCGTGATAACATGGGATTCAGCGTGATAGCATCTCAATGCCTTACAGCGCCACCATACGCCTTTGCAGGCATCCTAATGGTAGTAACATCATGGATTGGTGATAAATATCACATGCGTGCTCCAATCCTTATCTTTAATAGCCTTGTTACTCTGGTTGGTCTTCCAATCATGGGCTTTGCTAACACTCCAGCCGTCCGCCTCTTTGGTGTATTCCTCACGACTGGTGGAGCACAAGCTAATATCCCTGCATGTATGGCATATCAAGCAAATAATATTCGAGGCCAGTGGACGCGAGCTTTTGCAAGTGCGACGCTAGTTGGGTTCGGAGGTATTGGTGCTATAGCTGGTAGTTTGATCTTCCGGTCTCAGGATGCACCAGCCTATATTCCTGGTATTTGGGCTGCCATTGCGTAAGTTCACCTGTAGGCACGTACTAGCAGCGATTATGGGCTAATGATGGATTGATTATGCCACAGATGCCAGCTCCTCCTTGTGATTGTTGTAGCAATATTGAGCCTTCATTTCTGGATCAGCAATCGCAAGGCGGGCCGGGGGGAGAAAATCATTGAAGGGTCGGCTGAGTTCCGCTATACTATTTGAAGACTTTGTATGGGACTTAGCAGTCAATATTTGATGGTGTTCACTGACACATTAATCAACCGCTCAAACGCAATGATCACCAGTAACTTCCCATAGTAGTTTAACTTTTCAGTTGCTCTTGTATATTTTAATATCTTTATCTTTCTACTAGTTTCTATTAAATTTAGACATTATTAAACTTTCATAATTCTCTATACATTGGGTACTCACGGTACAGTCAATGTATGTTCCTCGAGCCTTTATCCGTTTTGATTTGCTCAACTTCCTCTGGCGGGTGGGTGGTTGTTTTGGTCCTTAAGCCTAAGGGTATAGTATAGTATTGCGTGCGGGCCTTGAGTGACATCGAACACTCAAGAAATGAATTAGAGCTTTTTGATTAATCAGACATAGACGTAGCTCGTAGTTTCTCGTAAGGTCTACGGATGGCGCTGGATACCCTGAAGGCTCATTCGGTCGTACTGGAGGCTGTCTCACTTTCATGCCACAGAAGAGAGCCTGGACAGCCAAGATATTGTAGCTTGACTGAACACCATTCGAGTATTTCTTGCCCAAGTACTTTGCATCTCCAATCTCTCATGGTATATCGTGCTTCCTGGCGGCTTTTGGGCCGCGCTTCGGGTACGTGATGCGATGGTATATTGACACAAGTACCCATAATTGTTTCCGAGCCTAACTTTGGCGCACTGCGCCCATTGGCTAGATGCCAAAAGACAAGTCTGCTTGACGAGTGAGCTGGGCCAACACGAATGACCTGGCAGCCTTGAGAAGAGTGGCTTATTCCAGGAGGTGGCGCCAGGAGGCGAATGCGTCTGTTGATATTTATAAGAGTAGCGAATGTTACGCTATCAACGTCTCAAGAAACTCAGGGCGACATGCTGTAAAGCTGACCAGTAGGCCGAGAAATATACATCAGTCTTCGACCTAAAGAAGTATGCACTTATACATTTTGTGAACACTAAAGAGGTTGACCCGTAGTACATACCGCTACATCTATAAGTATATACCGTGCCAGTGACTAGAGCTGTGGAGCGATATCCAGGCTACTGGCTGGATCCCGGTCTAGAATTCCACTATCACCGCGAAAAAGCAGTGGTAAAGGCCAGTACCTCTCTCTAAGCACTACGAAGCTTGGCAGGGTCGATATAGGGAGCTTTACTGTATGCCATACGCAGAATTTACTAAGCAGTGATCATTCCATAGATACTCTTTAGTGTCTCTGTATGGTATCAACCTATGCTTATTAGTAAGTCTAAGACACATGCAATCAATTCAATTCAATTCAATCCAAAGTTCTATTAACCTGATGCAGCACAACTAGAACGTAATGGCTATGCAGGTGCTTCCTCCGTCGGAACAAGAACTTGTCCAAACGCCGCGCCCAACAGTAACAAATACAAAGGAAATACTGCCTGTCGCTATGCAAAAACAGGTAATAAACCCACAAAAGCTGTCACAGAACGCTCAAAATGAATGTAATCGGCTACTGCCAGCGCACGCAGTACCATGCGGCCACATCCCTCTCCGCCTTGCCGTCTCCTGTCCTTGCTTTTCCCTCTCTATCTGCCCCAGTCGGCATGCCGTCAACATGCCCTGTTCCTCCGATATCGTTCCTTCCTGTCTGATTGCATTGATCCAGCAACCTCTCGTCGTCACTGGTGGTTCTTCTCTTCCTTATACTCAGCGTCTTCACCTCCTGCTGCCACCTTGCCAAGTTATTCTGGCGTGTTAATGCTTGCATCGACATCCTCGTAGTCCACTTGGCGGAACTGGCCGAGGAGTCCCGTCCGGTGCATGAATTCGGCCACGTAGCGGATGGCCTGCGAGTCCGATATGATCGTGTCATAATCAGTTGTCCTCCCGAGATCAGTTTTGTACCAGACCTTGTTCAACATCGTGGCCCTGAGCGCGGTGTATAACGGGCACTGGAGAAGGACATGCATGGGAGTCTGGCTGCCCTCGTCGCAGTGACACCGGTCTGTAGCCCCCTCTGCCCTCTGCTGTGTGGTGGCGATCTTGAACAGGAAATGTCGAAGTCCAATTCGCTGTGACCTCATCTGAATCAGGATTGAGGTGTAGGGTTTTGGGAGCCCCTTATATAGACCTAGAGTCTTCTTGTGCGGCATGTTGACCAGTCGATAGGTTGCTCTCCCTGTCCTTTCTCTCGTCCATTCCTTCGCCCATCTTTCCTTTATTCGCTGCCGTACCCATCGCCTCGCTGAAGAGGCAATTGATTGATTGATTGATTGATTGATCATACACGGATCTGTCAGCCTTATTGGCTGATTTGCCGGCAGAACCGAATGGGTAGCCGGGTCAACTACCTTACATATACGCCGATAAATCACCTAATTCCAGCACCTCCTACCGTCGCGGTGTGGCGGGAATCCGCACACGACAAGAGGCACTCATTCCCAGGAAGCAGGTTCATCCCGACGTTCCCGTCACTCGTCACTCTTTCAACCCTGTGCGGCCGACTGCGCACGGCATCTAGTGCTGTTCGCGATCGACTGTGCTGGCCGACTATGCCGTTCACGCACACAGAGGGGGGTTGGCTGTCGTACTGAAGGCCCGGAGGCGTAAGCAGAGGGAAAAGGTCACAGGCCAGCGTTTCCCGCACGGGTGGCCTGGTATGTGGTCGGCAGGGCTCCGAATTGACCGAGGAGCGTTGTTTGCATCATGAACTGGATTGCTTTAGCTGTGGAATCAGGTTTGGTGAGCCATACGGTCCAGGGCTCTTCGTCTCTAATAAGGCCGAGTATCCTAAATCGCAGTTCGGCGAACCGAGGGCAGCGGAGTAGTACGTGTTGAACGTCCTGTGCGCCTTTCTGGCAGCTGCATTGGGCGGGATCCCTGAGCAGTGGATTTGCTTCAAGGGCGTCTTCCCGCCACCGCTGGATGGTAGAGAGGTATGATGCTAGCGCGATCTTGCCGGATTGCATCTGCGTGAGCACCGCGCTGCCGGCGCGGCGGAGGGGTTTATGCATCGCGAAGATCTCCTTTGTGGGCTCGGAGAAGAGGCGGCGTGCGAGCGCGCCGTGTTCGCTAGTCGCCCACTGTCGCTTCCAATCTGCTGCTGCCCGCTCGCGGAGCCTTGTACGGCAGGTGGACGCCAGGATCTTAGTGGGAAGGAAGCCCTCTTCAGTGGCAGCCTGCCTCGCGAGAACGTCTGCTCGTTCATTTCCGCACACTCCCGCGTGTCCAGGAACCCAGGGGATTCGGACTGTGTAACGTAGGGAACGCAGACGATCGATGACGCGTATGATTCGTCGCAGGAATTGCTGGCCGGAGGACCTGCCTGGTGACGCGCATGCTCTGATCGCGGCTTGGTTATCGGTGAAGATAGTGATCATAGAGACAGTCTCTAGGCAGGGCCCACCCCTGCCATAGTGGCTACCATTGTACACCACGCCCCGCGAGAGCTCGCGCTCTCGTTTCGCGTTACCTAGGGAGGTCTCCCTCCGTTAGGCCGACCGTGTCTTGCAGAGAGCCCTCGTATACACCCCAGCCGGCAGTGTATGTCGGTCGCTCCCTACTAACCAAGCTTGGTCCCCAGTGACTGAAAAGGGCCGATGATTTACCCGTGGCACAGCCTTAACGAGCTCCATCGGTTGCCACAGCCAACCACCAACACCTTTCAGATTGCCTGTGTGTCTCCCAAGAGGGTTGCCCGTGTCTCGGCGGTGCCCGTGTCTCGCAGAACAGCCGCACTAGAGCTTGCCCGTAGCTTTGCCTTAACGAGGTCTCCAGTGATCGACGTCTCCGAGCCTTAACGAGTTCGAGTCTTAACGAGGCCTCTGGGCCTTGAACGAGGTCTGTCCGATGTTAGCTTGACTGCCTGCATCACTGGTTCACTACCGCCTCGCCGCATCTCGCGCGATGCGATCCCAGATTGTATGCAAGCTCAGGGGTGTCCTGTCTTCTTCCTAGGGCGACACCACTTCGACTGGTAATGCAAGACCAGCGTCTGGGCCCGAGCGCGAGTCGGGTAAGAACAAGTCGGATGGTTTTCATATGCCGTGTCCCCTGATTTTGGTGTGGTTGTGCGGTCGTGCCCCTGCCCACCGCGCCGGGCCGGACCGCACAACAACGGCGGATTCACTTTGGTCTCCCCAACGGGGATTAAGACCGGACACCACGAGAAGGTATGAATCCATTGTCCCAACAGCCTGGCGATGATTGTCGCCCAGTGCGAGCTCACTGGGGGCTTACTTAGTAACTTGATTGTATCGTTCGGTTTATAGTTTGTCCGAGTTGCCATACAAAACATTGTGGTAAGGGAGACACTTCGAATTCAGACTAGCTTACTATCTCATCCGTGCATGCAACTAAGGGCCCACAGCGTGTTCCAACAAACAATTTGCTGAGTCAGCCGGCTTGGTTTCCCCGATCGTTTCTCGTCAATTGTTGGCTTCTCCAATCGATACTCGGATCTCAGCATTACATGCTATTCACTCAGGCAGCTGCGCGAAGCTTTATTGGCGTTCGGGCATTCTCTACAGCTCGTGTGTATCGGGCAGAGCTGTCCTACCGGGTCTATGGGCCCGAAAAGGAGGAAGCTATTCGCGATCCCATTTTGTTCCTGCATGGACCTTTCGGTTCCAAACAGAACAACCGGAGTATAAGCAAGTAGGTAATATCACGGATTGTATAGAGAATTCGGGCCTGACATGATTTGCAGAGCTTTGCCGAAGTACTTGAAATGCCAGATCTTCACATTGGTACGATTCGTCGCATATTCTCATAATTGCCACCGAGAGCATGAGGCAGATATTGTGAATCTTGACTCGTACTTACAAACGCCTACAGGGCCTTCGTAATCATGGTGATTCTTTCCATGCTCCGAAGCACAATTACAGTGCTATGGCCGAAGACGTACAGGAGTTTATCCAACAGCAGAAGCTCAAGAAATGCGTCCTGATTGGCCATTCGATGTATGTCCCTGAGGGCATTTATAGCTCAGATAGAGCTTTGGCTGCATCTGAAATTCACTCCGTACTAATGATCCATAGGGGTGCTAAGGCCGCAATGACAGTGGCTCTTCAGTCTCCGGAGAGTGTTTCCGCCTTGATTCCAGTTGACAATGCCCCGCTCAACACAACATTGAAGAGTGATTTCCCAAAGTACGTGCGAGGCATGCAGCACGTAAAGCGAGAGAAAGTGAAAAAGCAATCAGATGCGAACAAAATCCTCGAAGATTATGAAGAGGTATGAAAAGACTGATGTACCAAATTCGCAGCATTGACTAATCTTCGACAATTCTTTTGACAAATCTCGTCCCCCCTGATGATGGGCATAAGACCTTGAAGTTCCGTGTACCTCTCTCGGTGATTGGTGACTCACTTGACAACATGGCCGGTTTCCCATTTAGCGAGTCGGATGGGGTCCAGTATGATGGACCCACCTCGGGGTACCAAATCCAAGTATGTCACTGATGCAACCATTCCTGCAATCAAGAGATTCTTTCCCAACGCTCAGATTGCGGACGTCGAGGCGGGACATTGGCTCATCTCCGAGAAACCCGAAGATTTTCGGCAAGGTAATCATCCTCCAAACTTCAGATCTATAAACTCCATCGCTAACAATATGATATAGCGGTTGTCAAGTTCTTGGGATCACAATAATTTACATACCAAAAAAGAATACTGTACACTACGTCAGCGATAGATCTGTCAATTTTTAGGGTAGCCATCCCTCTAGGGTCGGTGGGACGGATATATGATTTATATCCAGGTCCTATTTTTTTTCTTTGATACTCCATATATCACATTCACATGCGCAGCGAAATTTAAAATTCCTATCAAAACGAAGCAGGAAGACAAAGTTGCGGATCCCGGCTCAGAAAGTTTCCGGGATCCGGTGTTCTAGAAGAGTGTCTCCGAACGGATAGGAAAACCTTGTCAGTTATATTTCCGGGGCTTTCAAATCCACTAGTGCTCTTGAATCATGCTAATGAAGGCAAAAGTGAGCATAAGGAGATCCTTCGTGCACAATCCACAAGTCTGGTGGGTCCCGAGCCAATTTTGACGGGTCAGTGGATTTAGAGGGTCGGAAGACCCCGGTTCGATTAGTTCCTTTTGCAATAGTACTACGGGTAGTTCCTCCCTGCTAACTTTTTGGGTTTTTCCATGGATCTTGCTTAAAACCTTGTGCGGTACCCTTTGCAAATGATTACGTACTTCTTTGAATATGGCGGCTGGGTCTTCCGCAATGTAGCATCTATCGGAACCCATGCCAATAAGGGGCGATCCCAAGCTCGTTCTTGCTTAGCCATCAACTTCTCCAGTCACGCCATAGCTAACTAATAAATAGAGTAAAAGAATGACGGCATGGAGGGTTTCGATTCGGCGAGAGCTATCTAGTGTGCCACATAGCTGGTTGAAAATAATATATTGTACAAAAGGAATAGCAGGATATAAATACATAGTAAATTAAGAACGGAGAAGGGGCGTAAGACCGAACTCATGGGGGGTCGTTCATGAAGCCGCATACTCAAAGGGTAAGGGTTGGGAGTCATAAAATGGCGTCAAATAACCCTCAGTCGTCAACTGGCCCTTTGTAGGCGGATTGAAAAAAGTCTCCCAGTCATCAATGCCATTCCCCAAGCCAGTGAACACATCTAAATTCAAGTCCACAGGGTCACTTTCGGTGGGATATTGGAGCATGGGGCTGCTCGTCTGAATATCGTTATACAACAGTCCGGCGTGAGCCGCAGGGTCTGGCATATGCCCATCCAAATTGATACTGGGATGCAACTGAGATGGAATATTGAGACTATTGACAGCGGGAAAATCATCCTGTATCGATATCGATGATGGGGTATTCTCAGCTTCAATATTTTGTGTTCGATCACTCGTTAGTGATAAGATATTGCTGGGAACAAGTGGCAGAGCCGGGGCTGAGGAGCAGTTGTGAAAACTACCATTGGAAGAATGTGGTCGCTGCATTTGTCGATTGTTCTGATCTTGTAGACTTTGTTGGTGCATGGAGGTTTGTCCACTCTCTTGAAAAGTTGTGCTTCCAGATTGAGGTTGGTTCAAGGACCCTAGGCGAGAGAGAATATCATGGACCAGAGGCAGACCGTTGGCTCCACAGCTCAATGGTTCTCCAGGCCAGCCATCTCCATCCTGCACATGTCGATATAGCTCTCTGAGGCCATGAATAAGCCAACCTTGCTGCTCTTCCAGAAAGGTCGTGTATCTATAAAGTCAATAAGGTTTTTGCTCTATTAAATTGTGACAAGGTAGGTTAGTTACCCCTTAGGATATACCTTCTCTCGATGTTTCATTCGATCACCAAACATGCAATTGGCATTTTCAGCTCGGCATTTTTGACAAGGACTGCTTCCATCACACTGGATATGGTTAGACCAAAGGAGAACAGATATCACACCGTTACGTACCTTTGTTTTCTTTCCTCTACAGCGGTCACAAGCCTTTTGTACTCTCGAACGAGCAACGTCCGTGGAGTACGGCGAGTCTCTCGACACTGCTGGCTTCGTGGTATGGCGTGGCATAATTATATGAGCAGTCTATACAAATTTACTTTGTATAACAAAAGGTTCAAGCTCTTTACCGAAGTAAGAACTAGGCTTATTTTTTAACCCCACTGAAAATCGGACTGATAGAATTGCAAAAAGAAGGAATTTCAGCATGCAAGCATCCGAGAGTGGACTAGGGATAAACCATACAGTTAGTTATAAGGGAGGTGACGAGATCATGGCGAGTCGCGCCCGCGCCCATGGATCGGATTTTTGCAGCTAAGACTAAACAGACTGGACTACTCAGCTGACTATTAACGTATGGGTCTGGTATGCCCCTTTTTTCAAGATTAAAATTTGCCACTTTCGGGAATTGTATTATTACGGCTTTGTTAAATATTCTATTACACAAAAATATGCAATGGATAAACTTTGAGTGGTCGATAAGTTTTAGACGGGACCTACCGTCAATGAGATGCTTGTGTTAGAGTTACTCCAGTAAACAGGAAAAAGAAGCAGGGTATTCATGCATAGTCCTTTCTCAATAGGATAAGACTGGATAAAGGTCAAAAAGTATTGTCCTTGGTAGAAATAGCGGCGGTGAATGAGTCTTTGGTGATATAACCTGGTCTTCTTTCAAACATTTTCTCGCATTGTTTGTGTGATAAGTCGCGTTGACGAAGGGATGAATATTCGCATACACTGGAGTAGAATAAATTACATCTAGATGTTTTTTGGCCAATCACAGCTCTTCCCGAGAAATATTTCACCGGGAAGTATGGCATCCGAGCGTAATGGGCGTGTAAATTTCGGAGATCTGTCAAACCTACGGACCGTGAATGAACCGCCGCCGAACCACACGGCCGGAAACAGCCACTGCAGCTGATCTACAATAAAAAGCTTTGGTATGGATCTATAACTCGTTGGTGGTCGTTTTTGGTGGATCTACCAGGGCTGAAACACCGGTTTTCGATGGACGAATCTCGAACAGTCGTCCGGGTGTGGCGCCCCTATCTCTATCTTTGTGGTCCCTGGTAAAAATCTGCGAACTAGTGATGGAGATATTCAAGTGTCCACAGTAAATCTCCATAATATGATTAGCCGAATTATAGGCTTCTCGGTTCGTGATGGTCCCGGCCCTGGAGTATGATGTGAAATGCCGGACACGGAAGCTAGCGGCTCTGGATTGATTCACCAGCTAGTTTGGTAATCAAATAACTGCCGTCGATCTCTTATAAGGATTCAAGCGCCCACATAGATCTTGTCTATTCTTCTGGAAGCAAGCTTGGTGCATCGAATCTTTATTCATCATGTCGGTCTTGGGGGGAATCCCCTCCATGGATACGCAGCAGCAGCAGCGTCTGACAACCGGTGAATCAAGACAACATTATGCTTCATCTACTACGCTCCATAATGATGCCAAAGAAGAAAAGGAACGTGAGGTTGATATGGAGGACGAGGTCGAGGAGATGGTGAGGCAACTCACCCGCCACTCCACTCATTTCTCCTCGGCCAATGCAGTCAACCCTTTCTTTGAGGAGAACAAGGAAACCACCTGGCATCCCGGTAGTCCTAATTTCAGGACAAAAGATTGGATTCGGTCCTTGATCGCCGCTCAGTCGCAAGACCCGGAGCGATTCCTCCAACGTTCTGCCGGCGTTGCGTTCAAGAGTCTCTCCGTTCATGGTTTTGGAAGTCCCACCGACTATCAAAAAGACGTTTTCAATTCTCTCCTGAGTATCAGCGGTCTCATTCGTAACCTTGTTGGAAGTGGAAAACAGAAGGTTCAGATTCTTGATAACTTCAATGGACTTGTCAAAAGTGGAGAAATGTTGGTGGTTTTAGGTCGCCCGGGAAGGTGAGTTTGCCCACCCAATACGTGATCTCGGGTGAGTAGAACGGCTCTAACTGTTCATTAGTGGCTGCTCAACATTCCTCAAGACAATCTCCGGTGAGATGAACGGCATCTATGTCGACGACCACAGCTATTTGAATTACCAAGGTATGCAACAACGCCTAACATATCAGATGTGATTCAACCAACCAACATATGATAACAGGAATCTCGGCCCCAACTATGCAAAAGCAGTTCAAGGGAGAGGCGATCTTCAGCGCTGAAACTGATGTGCATTTCCCTCAACTTACGGTCGGTGATACTTTGACATTCGCCGCCATGGCACGTACCCCACGCACGCGTTTCCCCAACTTGACGAGAAAGCAATACGCCGAGCACCTTCGTGATGTCGTCATGTCCATGCTAGGACTTCGGCATACATTTAATACCAAAGTTGGCAATGACTTCGTGCGTGGTGTTAGTGGAGGTGAACGGAAGCGTGTCAGTATTGCAGAGGCTATTCTCAGTGGAGCCCCTCTTCAGTGCTGGGACAATAGTACGCGAGGTCTTGATAGTGCGAACGCATTGGAATTCTGTAAGAACCTTCGCTTGATGAGCGATTACGCAGGCACCACGGCCTGTGTGGCGATCTACCAGGCTTCGCAGAGTGCCTACGATGTAAGTTGGAATTTTCCATGTTACTGATATGATCTCCACTAACCTTCCTCGATTATGATAGGTCTTTGACAAGGTCGTTGTTCTGTACGAGGGCCAACAAATCTACTTCGGCCCGACTGGCGAGGCTCGTGATTTCTTTACCACCATGGGCTTTGACTGCCCGTCGCGTCAGACCACTGCCGATTTCCTCACCTCTCTGACTAGTCCGGCTGAGCGCAGAGTGAAGCCAGGATACGAAAGAAGAGTGCCTCGAACACCGCAGGAGTTTGCCCTGCGCTGGCAAAACAGTCCGGAGTGTGCCCGTCTTCTGCAGGAGATTGACGCCTTTGACAAGGAATATCCCATCGGGGGTGATTCCTTGACGACTTTCAGTGAAGCTCGTCGCCAGATGCAGTCAAAGCAACAGTAAGCCAAACTATCTGCATTCTTTGCGTATTTCAAAAGCGCTAATTATCATCCCCTAGGCGTGTCAAGTCTCCCTATACGCTTTCGATTTACGAGCAGATCTCCCTCAACGTAGTCCGTGGTTTCCAGCGTCTCAAGGCTGATATGAGCTTGTTCTACTCGGCTCTTTTTGGCAACTTCTTCCTCTCTCTCATCCTTGGTAGTGTGTTCTATAATCTTTCATCCGATACCGCTAGTTTCTACTCGCGAGAAGTCCTGCTCTTCTACGCGGTTTTGCTCGCTGCATTTGCCAGTGCGCTAGAGGTAAGCCATCCATAATCTTGCTGGGGTTCTTGATGGAAACCTAACAATATCATAATAGATCCTGACTCTTTATGCTCAACGGCCAATTGTGGAAAAGCAATCTCGATATGCCTTCTACCATCCTTTCACGGAAGCTGTTGCATCTATGGTGTGTGATCTACCGTATAAGTTCGCAAATGCCGTGTCGTTCAATCTTCCGCTCTACTTTATGGCCAACCTGAAGCGTGAGCCAGGCGCCTTTTTCATATTTTGGCTCTTTGCCATCGTGACAACATTGACCATGTCAATGGTCTTCCGGACATTTGGTGCCGCATCGCGTTCTCTGTCCCAAGCTCTGGTTCCTGCTGCTCTACTCATTCTCGGTCTCGTGATCTACACAGGTTTCATTATTCCCACGAAAGGCATGTTGGGATGGTCTCGTTGGATGAATTATATTGATCCAATTGCTTATTCGTTTGAAAGCATGATGGTCAATGAGTTCCGCAACAGAGAGTTTCCATGCTCGTCATTCGTTCCTTCCGGAGAGGGATACGAAAACGTGGATGTCATCAATACGATCTGCAGTACTGTCTCTTCAAAGGCGGGAGAACGCTACGTTAGTGGAGAGGCTTACCTTGAGACTGCATATGCTTATACCAACGACCATCTCTGGCGTAACCTCGGTATTGTTATCGCGTTCATGGTCTTCTTCATGTTCGTTTACCTCATCGCGACTGAATATATCACCGAAGCAGCCTCCAAGGGTGAAGTTCTTCTTTTCCGTCGGGGCCGTCAGCCGAAGGCCCAGGCGTCGGATTCTGAGACCACCGCCGACGCTACCTACCGGGCGGAAGAGAATGCGGAGGGTGCTGGTGCTAATATTCAAAGACAGACTGCCATTTTTCAGTGGCAAGATCTTTGCTACGATATCAAGATCAAAAACGAGGAGCGTCGTATTCTTGATCATGTGAATGGATGGGTCAAGCCCGGTACCGCGACCGCATTGATGGTAAGAGATTCCGCCCGCACTATGTAGTGCAATTCGCTGAACATTCGCTAGGGTGTTTCTGGTGCAGGAAAGACTACACTGCTTGACGTTCTTGCAACTCGTGTGACTATGGGTGTTGTGACTGGCGATGTCCTTGTCGATGGCCGTCCCAGAGACGACTCATTCCAGCGCAAGACTGGCTACGTTCAACAGCAAGATGTTCACCTTCCTACTTCCACGGTGCGCGAGGCATTGAATTTCAGTGCTTTGCTCAGACAACCAGCCCATCTCAGTCGGAAAGAAAAGCTCGACTACGTTGACGAAGTCTTGGAGTTGCTTGGTATGCAAACATACGCAGAAGCAGTTGTTGGTGTTCCGGGTGAAGGTATGTTTTCATTTACGAGATATATTACCCCTCCCTTAGTTTGGAAAGTCCCTAACGTATTTCAGGACTGAATGTTGAGCAGCGTAAGCGCTTGACTATTGCCGTGGAATTGGTCGCCAAACCCCAGCTATTACTTTTCCTTGATGAGCCTACATCTGGCTTGGACAGTCAAACCTCTTGGTCTATTCTCGATTTGATTGAAACCTTGACCAAGCATGGCCAGGCCATTTTGTGTACCATTCATCAACCTTCTGCCATGCTTTTCCAGCGATTCGACCGACTGTTGTTCCTCGCTAAGGGAGGACGCACTGTCTACTTTGGCAGAATTGGCGAGAACTCTTCGATCTTGGCAGACTATTTTATGCGCAATGGTGGTCACGCTCTTAGTGAAGGCGAGAATCCTGCAGAATGGATGCTTGATGTGATTGGGGCTGCTCCTGGATCCCACAGCGATATCGATTGGCCTGAGACTTGGAATAAGAGTGCTGAAAAGCAGGCTGTTCTTGACCACTTGGCTGAGTTGAAGTCTACTCTTTCTCAGAAGCAAGTAGAAGACAGTGGTACTACGGAACATCGTGAGTTTGCGTCTTCGACAAAGGATCAGCTTGTGCAGTGTCTATTTCGGGTCTTCTCCCAATACTGGCGTACCCCCTCCTACATCTGGTCCAAGCTTGTTCTCTCGATTCTCACGGCTCTTTACAACGGATTCTCTTTCTTCCACGCAAAGAATACCCAGCAAGGACTGCAGAACCAGATGTTCAGTATCTTCATGCTTATGACTATCTTCGGAAACCTTGTTCAACAGATTATGCCCAACTTCATTATCCAACGATCCATCTTCGAAGTCCGCGAACGCCCATCCAAGATGTACTCGTGGAAGGTGTTTATGGCCTCGAACATTATCGTTGAGTTGCCTTGGAACTTTTTGGTTGCCGTGTTAATGTTCTTCTGCTGGTACTACCCTGTCGGCCTATACGCAAACGCCGAACCAAATGATGCCGTGCATGAGCGTGGTGCGCTTATGTTCCTGTTCCTGTTGGTTTTCCTCTGGTTCACATCTACGTTCACGAATATGGTCATTGCCGGTGTGGAGACTGCGGAAACGGGAGGTAACATCGCTAATTTGCTCTTCGCCCTTCTGCTTCTTTTCTGCGGGTACGTCTTCTCAATCCCTATTTCTTGGTTCCATGTACTAATTGGTTCGTTTCTAGTGTTGTCGCTACCCCGGATGAGATGCCCGGATTCTGGATTTTCATGTATCGCGTTTCTCCATTCACTTATCTGGTATCGGGAATGTTGTCCACCGCCGTCAGTGGCACGGATGTCACCTGCAGCACCGATGAAATTCTCACCTTTAACCCTCCGGGCTCTCAAACCTGCTACGAGTACCTGAACGCTTATGCCGAACGGACTGGTGGATCCATTCTGAACCCCAACGCAACGAGCTCATGCTCATATTGTTCTATGAAGTCTACCGATACCTTCCTTGCCCAGGTTGACTCTTACTACAGCGAGGCCTGGAGAAACTTTGGAATCATGTGGGCTTACTTGGTGTTCAACATTGTGGCTGCCCTTGGAATCTATTGGTGGGCACGTGTCCCCAAAGGAAACAAGACCAAGGGAGGTGCCTAAAAAGCATTCTCCTTTCAAGCTTAGCGAGACCAGCGTTTCGTTTCGACGGAACGTGATGTTCTGCATAGAATGTTGACACTGTCATCTCGCATATATGGTATATGCGAAGGTATATATATTGTGCATTTTATAGACTCGTTCATTTCAAAATTTTTCATAGACTCGCTGTTTGTTGTTTGCTTCTCTTAAATTGTCATTCTTTTGAGCTTTTCTTTTCGTTCTTGAGGCCTTTCGGTCTTTCCACCCCTTACATTCTTTCCCGAGTTTCAAGTATATAGAGCTCTTTCCATCCTTTCCCAATACATGTTTTAATTTCGTCTGTGATACGTACTTCCATTATTATCACCCACCAAAAGCTTGGCCCGCTTTATGCTAAGGTAAATTGATATTTAGTTCACATGAAAAGGTCTTTGTTAACAGTAGGAACCCTGTAACCCAAGGCCAATACATTGATCAGCACATCGGCGCCCGCCGCTTATCTTATCGCCGGAGGGCGCCGACACGTTCTCCGCTTCCCCCAGAATCTCCACAGCTTTCGACCTGAATCTATTTGACATTGAGCCATAGCGTGATGTTCTTAACCCTAGTAACAAAGGCTTCCCGGCGCTAAACTTAAAACATACTAGTGCCCGCTGAAATTCAAGGGAAACCTGCTGTTATTCAAAATCCCCCCCACACCCTACTAGCCCCATATTCAGTAAATCTAATTGGATAATTAGACTACCTGATTATTTACTTATGTCTGAGGGCAGTCATAGCACAACAGCATTAGTGGTAGATGTGGTAGCCGTTGGTGATGCGCCGCTTCCATCTTACCTTAAAGTGCTACCAGATTTCCGTGTTATCCTTGCACCACACATGGCTGTTGCTATACACGACAGAATCTCTCACGCCATCTCCTAGAGAAACATCACCTAAAAAGCGGACAGCGGCAGATCATTCAATTATCTACCCTACTCGAACCGGTCGCTCTCTCAAGTGCTGGTGTAGTACAGCCACAGGATGGCACTAACGAGATTCGCGGGCTACCGACCGCTTCCTCTGCCACCTCCCTAACTGCGACTTTCGTTCAACCAACAGCGATCGGATACAACAACACTATAATAAAGTACACCGGTGGCAAGTTAGATATCAAGGGGCTATACCTATGTATTAGTCGCCGCCGGACTGGCACCCACTCCACGCTTTCCGCCCGTGCGCCCCATAGTGGACACTCCGGTCGACTGCAGCCGCCTCTCCCGCCATTACACCATTGCTTTTTCACGCTTTTCGGCCGTTACCGCTCCGCACGAATTTTCGAACTGTTCGAAGTTCGCGAATTTCAACGAATCGAATCGAATTCGAACCTTGGTTTTCGGGCTTCGAATTTATGGGCGATTCGATTCGTCAAAATTCGCGGATTTCGAACAGGTTCGCGAACTAATATCTATTACTCAAGGGTTCGCTCGTGCGGACAGCCATAACCTCCACAACCGTGACCACTGTATGCATGGGATTCGCACATGGAATGGTGCTTTAAACACGGTCCAGAATTTTTATTCTGAGCTGTAAACAGTTGAATTACGTGTAGAATATCAATCTAGTGTAGAAACTATAACTATGCAACTATTCAGACTTCCAACGTTCAGCATCCTTCAGCCTCAGTAAGGTCCCAAGCATCTTGTCTTTCATGGAGAAACGTCGAATGCTTAGCATATCTCTTCCACCATTGAATAATCTCTCAATATCTACCTCTGCTGCTGGTATCGCAAGGTGATCTTGTGCTACATGGGCCATACAAGTAAATTCGAGCGTGTTGGCCTTCCACCAGTTTCGTATAAACTTAGTCTGGCTCTGGCTTATATCGAAGCCAGTGCTGATTGTAGGAGTGTCGAAATACTGGTCGATATCAGACTCAGCAACGTCATACTGTGTAGGCTGAAAGGCTTCCAGAAATCGATATTCGAAGCTCTTGTATAACTGGTGTTAAGAGCAGTCGATGTAGGCTGTTTCGGAGTGGGATAAGCCTTTTTCAGGAACGTCTTGGTTCGGCCGATGATCTGCTCTCCATCCGGCAGCGTTTTGAGCCACTTGATCTTGATTCTAGGATCCAGGACACTGGCGATATAGTATATGTCGTTGTCTTTGACGCGGTCTTAGTACCGCTCCAGAAGTGTGATTCCATCAGAGACAGAAGCAGTTAGTGCAGGTGAGACATTCTGCCACTCGCCTCGCCGTTCCTTAATAGCCAAAGTATACGAGTTCTTCAAACATCCGCGCCGCCATATGAATTGAAGGGCTATCTCGAGAGATTTATTCGGTATATTCGTTGAAGGGAACCAGGATTTTCTTTATATCTGAGAGCTGCCTCCAGTCCTCAGGTGTGAGACGTAAGGCTTCGATATCTGGCTCATCGTTGACTGTATCTTCAAGCTGCAGGCGACACTCTTCCGCTCTCTCAATCATTGCAAATGTAGAGTTCCATCGAGTATCAACATCGTAGTGGATTGCTTTTGTACAGCCAGGTCGATTATCCCACTTTTGTATTCGCTGAGGAGATCGCGCAATCCAAAGGACAAGTAGTCGAAGCTTTGCAATAGGGGACGTAGGAGCTTTAATAGTCTTCCAGCTCCTCTTAGCAACATCATCAAGGAAGTCACAGGCTTCCTTATGTGAACTAGCGCCTAAAGACCTCAATATTGTTTTCATAACCAAATTCAGGATGTGAGCGAAGCAGCGGATTTGGGAGTTCTGGGTAAGTTTCATCGTCCCTTCCTCGGATAACGGTATCGGCCAGGTACTCATCGTACCGCTGAGACAGCTTTTGGAAAAGACACCGGTGTGGTGTATCGTTGTTAGATGCGTTGTTAGCTGTAATTGTCATAACTTTATCGGATATATGAAATCTCTCAAGAACCGTCGCGACGATATTAGCAAGGTTCTCTCCAGAATGGTTGCCTTCGATTTCAACAAACTCAATACAAGTTCGATGTTGTTGGAAAGCAGATGACATCCAGTGAGCATTGATTGCTAGCATTGGCAACGAATTCTGGCTTGTCCACCATCAAGAGATAGCGCGATCGACGAAGCCGAAGCCATTAAGATTCGAAGTTCACTATCAAGAGCATCAAGTCGAAGACATAACCGGCGCGAAACAGTATCCGCACCCGGTATAGAGTGTCGGTCTATGAGATATCGGTATCGACTAGTACTCATGAGGGTCACTTGAACTGTCCCAGCGATCGATTGATTGACTGAAGAACTATCTGCAGACCCCGTCCGGAAGGCTATATTCAGGGGTTGTTTAGCGCTCTACAACGCTGCTTTTCCGAGGATACCCCGATTACTATACAAAACAGGTGGGAGATCGGGTATTCGCTGAATCATCCTGCTCCTGGTTGTAAATATCCACCTCTCCGAACGATATAGAGTCCTCAAAGCCTGCCGACTTCAACATAGCCAAAAATGAAGGTTGCTCGACACAATAAACGGCTGACAGGTCGATACAATCCAATTCAAGACAGCCTCGTCGAAAGGGAGTTTCTTTTCCTTGGAAATCCACGAGCTTAACGGTCCTTGGCGCCTTGAATGACCGTCCTCAAAGAGCTTGTGGGTTTGCTGCAGGGGTTGTTCTAACGCTGGAATTGAAGATCGTAGTTTCGATGCGAATCGAAAGAATCGACAAGTGGATGGCGATACAATACACTGGTGTTTAAGTTCGAGCCGCTCCTTATTTCCGAATCTCCAGGTACCAGATTCAGGTGTTGTACGGTAGTATTTCCATACCCAGCTCCGCTCTTTCGACCTAGTCTCATCATTCTGCTTGATTTCGGCTCTCTCAACCTCACATTCGGCCTGAGATATTGATTGTGAAGGGCATATCTCCGTATCAAGGTTCGATAAGCTCCTAGAAACATTGCTAGGAGCGGTAGGAGAGGTTGAAATAGGAGTCGGTGACTTGGCGGCGGACCGGACCGCAGCCTTCTTTCGAGGTCGCGGAAGTGGTATGTCCTCTGCAAGGAGGCCATATTTGTTAAGCGCCGCATAATCGCGTTTATTCTTCCTCGTATTAGGACAGTCGAATATCGGGGCAAGTGGATGTGTCATCTGAAAATTTATATTAGTATGTCATGCTTGGTCTGTATTTGATCGCTTACTTTGGAGCACCAGAAGGGATGGTTTTGGTAGTTTTTGACTAAGATTTGGGTGTTGTTCTTGGTAAAAGCACGTACGCGCAGAAACGCGTTCACGTAGAATCTCCGCTAGCCCGATTAGAGTATCCATTTGCTCTACATTGAACACAATGTGCAACTATTGATATTTTGGCTCTATGTTAATAGACTACGTGTATCTTAATACGATCTATGAGCTAGTATAATTTGAAGCAAAACAGACTACAGAACAAATGAGATTGCGGTCTTGCTGGGAAATCGTGGGAGTAGAAAGAAGTAAATATTTTGGACAGAGGGTTGGGTTGAAAATGTGCATCAACCTTGTCCAGTGACCGTCCTATCCAGCATCGATGATGAGCGTGTTCATATTCTGTTGGTTGAGCTGGTGATCATACCTCAAGGCAAATACAGACTGATCTTGGTCTGGTATACATGGTTCAGCATCCAAGTAAACCTCCAGTCGCATCACTGCTGCCGACGTAGGGGTCGGCCGATCTTCTGGCCCTCTGTAGCTTTGTTTGCACCCTGCCTGGTCCCCTTCTGGATCTCACTTTCGACGATTGCCAATCGACCAAAAATGTCGGCCAGATCGTTGTGAATGGTTTCATTCCAGGTGGCTTGGCCCTGCGATGAGCGCTCAATAGACCTGCGGAGACAGTTAGCGCTTTACATTGTCACTCAAGATGGACTACAACTGACCGCATCCGGTTATCTAGTCTGGATGTTATTAGCAGGCCAATCATGATTATGTGCTTGATGGGATTTTACTTACTCCGTCAGGCATTCCAGAGCAACCGAATTGCCATCTCCGGAAAGCTGAGTCTGCCCGCGTGGTTCCAACTCCCTTTGGTGTCCAAACACAGTCTTCCGCTGTCGTACAGCTTCTTGCTCACTCTCATCGGCCGAGGTGCTATTGTCCTGGTCGACAGAGTCATGTTCCTCCTGAAAGGATGAATCGTCCTCTGTGGTATCGCCTGTAGCGGATCTGGATGGACTACCAGTATCCTCAGACTCAGAAGATGACAAGGACAATGCACGTTGCAATCGGCTTCGAAAGTTTTGTCGTCGAGGAGTGTGCGAGACTTTTCGAATTCCGCCCATACTTGCGTCTGAGGTACGCAGGGGTGACGAGTGGTCTTAGTTCTGATTTCCTGTGATAGGAGGAGGCGCTCGGGTTTTATAGCATGTTGTATCGCGGGATCAGGATTGACTGTTTGCTTGCGCGCAATTGAGGAGGGGATCGCAAGTGCACGCATTTTTCAATCCTACTTTCTACCCGTAGATATCTATTTCTGAATCTACACAATTCTTAACAATGACTCACTAAGAGGCGGATCAGACAATATATTTCAACGAATTGGTGAACCAATGGGGAATTGTCAACAAGAACGGGCTCTTGTGGCCGCGTTCAACGTTGTTGATTCTCAACGAAACATAGTGTATCAAAAAATGAGGGCTTTTTGGTCTTCAGAACCCTGAATTGGTGCAAGTCGTGAGAGTCTGATACCAGGTCGCCAGGCTGGGCCAAAGCTCATAAACACACAAAGTCGCTTTTTACGTGCCACACTATAATCTTTTGAACTCAACAACACTACATCTTTGAATTTACTTTCTGCTGTTTTCTTCACCCGTTCTGACCACTTCTGCAACTCGCCCGAGCATCACCATGTCCCCACGTAGCGCATACGGCTGGCCAGAATGGGAGGAGAAAAATCTTCTCCCTTGGTTGGATGCCCATCGGGAGCTGTCGTGGAAAGCCCTCTCCGACGCATATTATGAAGAATATCACGTGCATCGAAGCGTTGAATCTTTACGAGGGAAAAAGTACCATATTCTGCGGAAGCAGAGTCGCACTGGCGCCAGATCTTCCCAGAATCTAGGCAAACCAAAGCGAGCAGGCGCTGTGCGACGCTCCGTGGTCGATAGCGCTTCACAGTCGAGTCTTTCAGCCAAGACCCCTGCCCAAAGGAACATCGACAAATGGTTCCAAACAATTCTAGCGGCCGACCCTAACCAGCCTGATGACAGTAAAAAGCCAACTCAAACGAACCCAATTTCAGGTACGAAACACTTAATCTTCTCATATTACATGCTGACCCTTTGTCACAGACCGCTTGACGCCAGCACCGCTTCCGTACCGGCCTAAAAGAACACGGTCGTCATCCTGGAGGTGGGACTATGTGCATCGTGTCTGTGCCATCAGGAAGCTGAGATACCGGCGAACAGAGTGTACACTTTAGCAGCATTTCATCGGCAGGAGCACTACATTGCGATGTCGCAGGAACAGTGGCCAAATACCCCGATACACTAGTCCTAGTAAATGTTACTATAATAAAGGCTGTGATCGAGCAATCAACTCTCAGCGTGAGAAATATGATCGAGGTTGCATACAGTTCCATGTATTCCGTATAGAAAGGAGCAATTGCCCTTCTTTGGAATGGCGACAATAGTGAGGAAGTCCCAAGGTCAAAGATGAGGATGCGAGCACAATTGTGGTAACCTCGGAAAGGGCCGCCTAGATATTTTTATCTTTACATTATCATGCTAAACCAGGAGCATTTCATCGGAGTCTCATGCGGCCCGCAAAATACTGCGGACAGTGTATAAGGATCCACAGTACTATGAGTGTTCTCGCTACTAGATAGGACATGGTAGCATGGGAATCTTTGGGAAAATGAAAATATCTGAATTCTGGTCAGCTCAAGGTAATACATCTAGTTAAAGTTGATTGGATCGGACGTCGAAAGTAGGGTGGAGTGAAGCGTACGATTTGTTTGGACCCACGACTAAATCACGAGGAAATACGCAGACCGTGGAATCACGAGTGGGACCGCAAATCATTTCGGCAACTTGGTTCGGATGAACCATGGAAACGCAGGCTCGGTGAGAGAATGCGGCTGTCATGATATGGAAGCTTGAACTTGATCGAAAGCTTATCTACAGGCTTCTGGCCCACTTACTTTCTGGTGAATTGCTCGTGATTAAGCCCTACAGCCCAAAACAAAAGTCAAGAGATTTGGAGTAGGATAACCATAATTTCGGTCTGCTCATATGCAGGAGTTTTCAAAGATCGGAATTTTATTATAAAGATTCTCTAGCTTCAGCGTCATGATCGAGATTCGCAGGGTATCTATAATAAAGTTTAGGGGCCGCAGGAGGACCGGCCCACAACGTCCACTCATCTCTGGGACCAATCGGTTTCTCGGCTTCTAATGCAAAAGCCGGAAGACTTTATTTACTTACGCCATATAATCTATCGAGATTGGCACAATTTTTACCAGCCATCTGCTAGAGTTACCACACTGGCAATCGAATTGGGCAGATGGAGAGGATTTGTTGGGCTCTCAGAGAGTATAGGGATTAGGGGAAGGTGCAGGACAGAAGACATTGCTTCTAGAACGTTCTACAGACCAGATAGACAAAGAGCAGCTTGCCACTTGACAAGGAAACTTACTCTCTTGTGACAGCAACTAGGAGAACACAACCACGGATTTGGTTTAGCCTACCAATCTGTCGCCAAAGTCTGCGTGGTATTCCAAATACCTCAACCTCACCTGCGTCGACCGTACCTCGACCGTACCTCCTAAGCAACAAAGCCTTTTTCCATCGGACACTGACGGCCGTCAAGATTGGGCTTGTGGATCGTGTCTGGACCTTTGCAAATCCTTCCAATTTCTTCTCCGGGGCATAAATGGAACCTCCTTGATCTACTGTCCCGTGGGTCGTCGCTGGGATCTGCATCGCAGAACCGTACCTGCGTCTGTCTAAATTCGCGCGTGGTGTTTGATTGGTCCGTCTGGTGCTATTTGTCCCCAGGGTCTCATCAATATGATAGTAGCGTTGCAATCTCGCGAGGTGGGTGGCGATCACGAGAACCTAGCTCGTGAGCCTTGGTAGCTGCAACAGTTCACATGGTTGTCCGGAAACCAGGCTCAGGATCTCATTGTAACTTACAGCTCTCTTCCTTCTCTTTTCCTTCGAAAATGCCAAATTGTGTCGTTTCTCGATACCAGCCAGGCACATTCACTGCCCAGTTTCGAAAGATGCTGGAGCAAGATAGGAGCGGAGAGAGCTCCGGTCATGAAGATGCGATCGCATCTTGTTCCAGAGCAAAAGGCTCCAGCCATACCGACGATGACCGTGCAGTATCCCACCAAGACCGACTTGAGAACGGACATGGCCAGAAGATCCGATCAGTGTCCAGTCGAGAAAAGAAATCAATCGAAAACTTGTCGACCAGACCGTATGATCGCCAGCAATCTGCTGCCAGGCAGTAAGTCGCCCTCTTTTTCTATGTACCCCTTTCATTTCTATATGTCTAATAAACCATTATCAGAGCCATCAAGCGAGCGAAGTAAGTATACCTGCCTGCTTTGTCTTGTGCCACATGGCCTTTTGCTTTAGTGAGCCTAGACGCTCAAGTTCGGGACGGGGCTGATTCAAGATACAGATTGTTAGAAAGTAAGGTTAAAATACGTCAACGGAAGAACCTCGCTAGCGATATCGAGCTCCTCACTGTCAGCATAGAGAAGCTCACTAGCGACTTCGAAGCTCTCAAAGAGGAGGTGAAGAACGTGAAAAAGACAATGGCAACTATGCGATCATGTGGGGGAACGGGTCGCACTCCAAAAGGTGTCTCGCGTTAGGCCACCCTGAGAAAGACTGTCAAGTACAGTATGTCGAGGACCTCTTCAATGGATTTTGATTTCCAAGATGCTAAAATTGATATCAGCATACATGTTCAATTGTCATCCGGTATTGCGTGGGTTGCGGTTGCTTGAGGGTTTCATCGTATCCTCTCTTGAGGAAGAGCAGGCACCAATGTTCAGTATTTGATCATTGCCTCGAAGCAAAGCATGCTCAATGAGAGGGCTGTCTTCCATAACTGGACCCTTATGATAATTGGAACGTCTCGTCATGGGAAACCGACGAGATCTATATCTGTATTCTCGATCCATTTAGAGTGCGTTTCAACCACTCGGTCATCATATATCACATTCTCCACCGTTGACGCTCAGTGATACTGGACTACCAAGTTGAATTCAAAGAGAAGGGGCATTATAGTACAGTATCCAAAGATGAACATTTTAGGCTCTACAGACCGTCAATTGTAATGTTATCCAACTTGCGATCTCGCCCATTCTGGTCAATTGTGGCAGCCTTTGTTGGAACACTGTAAATCTCATCATAGGTTTTCCGCGCCGGAGCGGTCTTTCGGGGTCGTGAAGTTTTCTATTGGGGGAAAAAAAAAGAGAAAAAAAGAATCGCGGGTGAACACACCAAAAGTATGCTAAGATCGATCTAAAGAAAACAGTTGTCACCGTAGTACACAAAACCCAGGTTCCAGGCCATTGCAATGACTCTTCACTCTGACTTATTTTCACCACCCTATCTTGCTCAACTTTAGACGCGTTGACCGATTTAATTGCAAATTCGATGATATGTAGGAATCATATTTGTGCGGCGTTACTTTCTTCTCAACAATTGATGAAAGTGGTTCACCACACTCAACGCACGATTTCGAGAAGAATGATTCCGCGAGTACACTCCAGGCTTGAATCTGTCGGCCACAAAGTCTCCAAACACTATTTCAACGTCGTTTAAATCACTTCAACAGCTATCAACGAGAAAGCGATTCTCGCTACCATCTGCGCAACTGCTTCCTTGGTAGAGACGTAGCCGAAAAGACATAAAAGGAGCCGGATTCCCAGCCCAAAAAAATCAGGACCTCGGTCCTCACACTTTGATGCATCATAGTGTCCCTCTCTTGCCTGCGGGCTTGAGAGCTTCCGTGGCCACGGCTGTCGCTGCTCTGAGCCCAGCGATGTAAGAATGTGCTCCCTCGCTGCCA